TAATTTCAAAATTAACAAATCCGTTTTACAAAGTATCAACCCGTTCATGCACGGTGATATTCCCATAGTTGGGGAAGAAGAGGAGAAGGAGCGACGGGATTGAGGAAGTGGGATGATAGTCTGTCCCAAGAAAATAAAGAAAGAAAGGAATCAACCTCAAATCTAGAATGATTCGGCAGATTTAGATTGCAGGGTTAGAAACTAACAGTTTTTGTCCACTAGTCCTTATAATGATAACATATAGCAAAACCCTTAAAATGAGCCAACTTCTACTAGTGCTTATGATAGCTTTACTATTGGGCACTTTTGGTAAGGACTACAGGACTAGTGCCAATTTCTAACGCTGGATTGCCTGAACTCTAGGCTAAAATTAAGCTCCAATATAATCTTTATTGTGTAATTTATACTTTTAAATAAGATACCTTTATTTCTGGGACTAAGTGTTAGTTTAGGGGGAGGAGGGAGTGTTCAAGTCTCACCTAGTTTCATTGTGGCACTTATTGGGTTTAATATGTTATAACATTTGTGTGTGTGTTTAATGTGTTGTGGCGCAACATACATTTCACTGCTAAAACATCATACAATCACAGGTGGGCATTCAACTTGAAATGAACATATTTACACTGTATCAATGATAAAATACTCAATAAGGTAATATATACATCAACATGATATGTACAAGGAAATAGACGCTATAAAAATGATCTTGGGAATAAATTGTTTCAGGTTTGAAATGAACAAATAGAATATCTCATTCAAAATTCTTTGAAGATTTCTGAGACATCATTGCCTCCATAACTGGAAGCCATGACAAGGCTGAATTGGTCACGTCGACCTTCCAAGGTCACATACTGAACATCAATACCATACAGACAATAACTCAAAGCAAGGATGTTAAATGTAGACATCTAACATAATTGCTCAAAGCATGTTTTTTATTGTTTGTTTTTAATATTAATTGTACATTTACGAGAGGTCAATCAGGAAGCAAGTGAAGAGTGAGTGAGTATATATTGCCTTACGCAGCACCAGCAATTTTGCAGCTATTGGCAGCAGGGAAGTGAAGAAAAGAACTTGTAGTGTTAACTTGAAAAATAGAATTTGAGGTCGCCTTGACTAAAAATTCCAAATTCACCTTGACAAGTAAATTTGGAATGACCATAGAAGAATCGGACCAGCAATTTGGACACATGTGCCACTGACCAAACCAACTGCACAAGTTGCATGTAGCGAATACTTCCCTGTACAATAAAACAAGGGTAAAATGTGAATACTGCATAAACCATATCTACCAGACATCTTGTCCCCTACATCAGCACCGTCTTGTCAAGTATAATACAAAGGGGAGGGAAAGGTTTTAAAAATGTCTAAAAATAAGTCAATTTCAACGCACTAAACGCCAAACGGCTGCATCAATTAAATCATGGACAAAGGTCAGTTAAAAATAGTTTGAAAGTCAAAGTAACCAATGACTCCAAGTCACACATAGAAAAAAGTATTTTGAAAATGATTTTTAACAATAGCAATAGACTGAAGAACACAGGAAGAGACAAAACACACTCTTTGTAGGCAGTCTTTAACACATTTCACTCGTAAACTCACTGAATAATACCACACTTTTTGAATTTCTGTCTCAGTTGTAGAAACTTTAAGCGATCTTGTTCAATGTTCAAAACAAGTTCAATATAAATATTATTCATCTAAAAGGGTCATATATATATTACGCAAAAGAAGCTTAAGAACACAATTTTTGCATATGACTAAATTAAGCTGTCATGTCAGGTTAACTGTGGTCATATGAAAAGAATTGGGTGTTCTTAACTTCTTTTGAGTAGTATATTTTACCTTTTCCCGAGATGATTAGGATGCACGTTACTGATTTTCTTCCATGATCAAACATCTTTTTTTATTCTGTTTCATTCCTGTTTGTTTCAAGATCTCCTAACTCATACACTTCAGACGACAGGCTCTAGAAAAAACAATACCAGTAATTAAAGTAATCTTGTGCAAATCGAGAGAAGGAATTTCTCCATTTCTTTTTACATACCAGTTAATTACCATAATACATACAATATCGTAACGATGAAATAATTTTTCAATCATGACATACAACCAATTTCCCAGCATTGTCAGAATCATCATCTACTAAAATACACATTAGTTTTTAGGAAATAAATAAAATGACAGGTGACAATATCATTACTAAACACTCAAAATGTATATATATATATATAATGACTTAAACAGGAACTATTTCAGGTTTGGCCAAGGTGAATTCTGTCTTTACATATCCTAAACATCAGATACAAAAGAAAATACAAACAATTGTTTCAACTCTCTTAACCGGATACATTGAATTAGGAAAATGTATGCATGTTTAATTATCAAACATTAAATCTTAGATATTGTCCAAAATGAGTAAAACTTATATTGCAGATATATCTGATATAGATACAGACACATCTCATCACCACGTTAAGGCCACTTCAACTCCGAAACTCGAACTTAAACAGGAGTAACAAAGAAAGATTAATAGACACTTTACATATCACATCAATAACCATCACTTAACACTTTTCAAATAAACAACGAGCTCCACCAGGGGTTGGCATAGATCAACAGTGGCGGGGAGCTATAGGACGGATGTCCGACAAACGCATGACACAACATTAAGGGGAGATAATTCATATCCCAATAAAATAAATCTTAAGACTCTTGGAGAAAATTGACGTCTATTCAGCAGAGGCAACACATATTATAGACGAGATTATTTCAAGATTTGTTTTATCAAATAGTCATGAAGTGCATTTAAGAATTGAATAGTTAGTTAAAATGGTGAGTACAGTGCTCTAAAAGTTGACTTGGGATTGTCAAGCTGTAGGATAAAATGATAGGGAAACACTGACGTCTGTTAGCATGGGGAAGATTGTATGTGCGGGTGTATTTACAAATTGCACCTTCAGTTAAAATAAGACAACCTTGGTGTTCTGTAGCTCACACTAACAGTACAAACAGTAAGTGTTGTGATTGTTCAGTGTGGTGCAGAATGCTCAAGTGTTGGGTACATTCTGACGCGTTGGTTACTCAACCAGGGCCTGTCAAAAGTTCTCTGTTCTCTGTGTATGTTCTGTCTGTAGGCGTTTGTACACTATCAAGCATCGTGTAATTTAACTGAAGAAAACATTACATCAAGTGTTGCATATGTGAGGAAACATAACATTGTGTTGTGTATGTTCTGTTAAGTGAGGAAAACGTTACATGGAGTGTTGTGTATGTTCTGTTACGTGAGGAATATAGTTTTTTTTGCTGTTTACTTTAATTCTCTCATAATTACAAGATTTGACAACAAGACACCAAATCATGAACTTCTACCATATTGACATTTGTGAAGACTAAAGAATCACGAATTGTTGACAGACGATACAGCTCACCCTGCTCACAAAAGCCCTTGCTCACGTGAACCATGAAGTATTTCAGCTTCTACTGACATATAGTGGAACGGAGATGAGTTCACAAAATGAATGAACACCAGATTGGCTGAGTCATAATGACACCATTACTGGCAAGTACTACACTACTCCAAAAAAGCTAAGGACCACTTGATTCTTTCATATTACTATAGTTAATCTGACATGCCATTTTTAACTATAGTCGCATGAAAGAACCATGGTCCTTAACTTTTTTGAGTAGTATATATCACTGATGTATTTATATGGATCCAATACAAATTCGCAAAATGACTGTTCATCGTAAGTCTGTATATACAATCACGAAAATCATGTTCACTATTCATAACAGAATGTGAACCTGTGAACAAAATGCCCTTGTTTCAATACACAACAGAAACGTCTGCAATCACAAGTATATAATAAAATGTGCGAATGGCAATACATGATCACAATCTGTTGTTCTGTACAAATGACATGAGGTGAAACAGATGGAAATTATACGCAAACCAGATGGAAATGAATGAGTATATTTGATGAAAGTGAAAACATAAATATTAATGAAATATTTATCAACAGTTTGATTATAATGATGACATCTTTACCACAACAATGCTGTATATGACGACATGCCCTCTTCCAATTAGTCGTTCATAACAATCTCATTAAAATCAAATCTTTTACTCAGATACAAGACCTCTTTGTGTGAAGATCTGACACCTCCATTGTCAAGCCTTCTAGATTCTTATAAATGCGACCAGCCGCAATATGGTTGATGAGGCTACAAGCTAAGTATTCTAAATTCTCGATACAAGTGAGAGAAACATTCAGACCAGCATATCTGATTTCTGTATCTCAAAAACAAACTTCAAACAAGTATTTGTCACAGAGTGACGAAATATCCCCCGCCTGTACACCATAGTACCAAATATGAAGACAATCCAGCGATTAGTTCTTGAGATATTGTGGCAACACCGTTTTCCAACTCCAAAAACAGATTTGCCTGCTGTGACCTTGAAAATGGGGTCAAGGTCACCAAATCTGACAGGTGTATGCGGTGTCTGTATATACACTATAGTTCCAAATATGAAGACAATCCAGCGATTAGTTCTTGAGATATCGCGGCAACACCGTTTTCTAACTCCAAAAGCAGATTTGCCCGCTGTGACCTTGACAATGGGGTCAAGGTCACCAAAACCGACTGGTGTCTGCGGTGTCTGTATATACACCATAGTTCCAAATATGAAGACAATCCAGTGTTTAGTTCTTGAGATATCGCGGCAACACCATTTTCCAACTCCAAAAGCAGATTTGCCTGCTGTGACCTTTAAAATGGGATCAAGGTCACCAAAACCGACTGGTGTCTGCGGAGTCTGTATATACACCATAGTTCCAAATATGAAGACAATCCAGTGTTTAGTTCTTGAGATATCGCGGCAACACCGTTTTCCAACTCTAAAAGCAGATTTGTCTGCTGTGACCTTGAAAATGGGATCAAGGTCACCAAAACCGACTGGTGTCTGCGGAGTCTGTATATACACCATAGTTCCAAATATGAAGACAATCCAGTGTTTAGTTCTTGAGATATCGCGGCAACAAACAGGTGGGACGTACGGATGGTCGTGAATACTATATCCCCCGCTTCGCGCTTTCGCGCGGCGGGGGATAACAACCAGTTGAAAATGTAGAACGCAGTGCCATTATATTGTTGTGGATATTTTATACACCCTGTCTTTTCAAAGGGTCACAGTATCTACACTAAAACAGTAGTTCCATTAAAGGGATATTTGTGTTTTGTGCTCTTTTGTAAAAATGGTAAACTAAAAAATGGTAAAGCAATACTGCCAAATTGTTTTAAGACAGCTGAATGGATCAAAAACCTACACATCCTTCCTGTAGACTGGCTGGTCAAAGTTTGCTCATGGTTGACCTGACGCGACCTTCTTTGGGGGTGTTATCAGATGTTCTTGCAGTGAGAGGTATTGGCCGGAGTAAAAGTTGTGAATTTAAGGACATTGCAGAGAGGTATTGGCCGGAGTAAAAGATGTGATTTTAATGACATTGTAGAGAGGTATTGGGTGGAATAAAAGGTGTGATTTTAATGACATTGTTGTTCACTAGTACATACACTGTGCAGAAACGTCAAGATTCTATACCTCCACTCAAAGAAACAATATAAATATAAAACCTTCCTGAATGAATAATCCACTGAAAGTCACTTATCTGTGATTGCTTTACTTCCAAACTGGTACTACAGATGTTTGGCCTGCCAGAAAATACATTGTAAAACGGTATCTTATTATCAGTACTTATTTATGGGATAAAAATTTGAAGGCTTTGTAGGCAAACCATATGATTCTATGGTGCCTTGTCTCTTTCATTCAAGATTATGGTAAATTATTGACAGAAAAGTGTTTAAGATTTACCTGCATTCATGCACGCATGCATGAATCATTTCGTAACCAACAGTAACATTACCAAGTATGAACAAAAACATGTGGCAAATAAGTTATGACGTGTTCCAAATCAAATTAGTTGCCATTTTGAGAGCTGGATTTGTAGATTTTTTCATGTGAACCTTAACTGGTATGAAAACACTTTTTGTATCCTGTAAGGGAATTGTAAAGATGACATGAATGTACAGTTTTCTCTTTAAAGTTTGTAATCTTGGAAATGTCTGGACAATAAATTGATAATTGTTTAACAGGAAGCACAATAACAGCCTAACCTAAATGAACCTAACCTACGTATATACCAAGTACGTACACTGTCTTGTCAGCACCATGCTTGTCACACGTCGGGATCCACTTCTCCATGACAACCACATAGTTACCATGGTTACCATGCAGAAATAACTTTATTCACCAGGACAAATTCAAATGTGTTTATAAAAAATAATTATTGAGATAAGGAAGCATTAAAAGACGTGCCCCCAAAGTCTAATGGTACTACATGTATTTTAAATATACCCCCTTCCACCGAATTGGGGGTTCATTAAATTGTTTAGATGTATGAATAGCATGCACGAATAACGTCTGAACAGTGAGCAGGAAAGAATCTTGTAAATTTCTCCTTGGCTATCAATGTGGGATTCTTGCTTTTCAAATATCCATGGGAGATAACCACTTGTGGTTTTCATGTCTAGATGTAGTGGTGGTAGAGTGCCGTTCCTTGTTTCAGTGTTACCAATGTTAGATATATCTGCATGACCAATTCCTGCATCAATCTAAAACTGCATGAAATCAAGTCCCCAAAATATAGAAAGCCTGCAGTGGTCAAATGGATACTGGGGCAAAAAGGAGACTGCAACATCATTCAGATACGGGATGATCACTCTCTAACCTACTTGGGTGACAGGTCACGTAACTTAGCACTAAACATCATAGAATGGCCTAAATATTGATGTTGTTTCACAAATACAATCGTTTGCACAAATCGCTCTACAGCACTGACAGCAAGGGTATAGATCATGACCCATCAGTCACAACTAAGATGTGTAAATAAACACACTGTAACCATGGCAACAAATATATACAATATGGCAGGATGAGTTTAACACAGTAAAAACATTGAAGTGAGTGACAGCAATGAATAAAAGGCTTAGAAAAACCAGCACATTCTGCAGTAAAAAGGCTAAAATGTAAAAATATTGTGGATATCAGTTAGTTAAGAAGCTTAAAACATTTTTGATTTTTATGGTGCTCCCAAACTGCAGAAGTACATGATTACCGGTATACAATGTCTTTATATAGACTTAGATTCTACACTTTCTTTCAAAAGATGATATTCAGTTGACTAAGAGAGTATCATCAGGCAAAAAAAAGAATGTGTGCACTTCCTGTTTCAGCCCTTTCAAAACTCTGGTAGGTGGGTTGTTATGATTTTAAAAAGATTTTTGTTTCTTTACAAATCAGAAATTTGCAGTAAGTCAGTTAAAGCCTTCTTCCACATGAAGATACCGACTGGTGTTTCTATAGTGAAGCCAGTGGGACGAAATACTGACAATACCAAGATGGGGGAAAAATGGACAGTGCAACTTGAGAAAAATGAGAAAATGTTCAGGTTTAAGGATTTCAGAGTCGGTCTGGAAAGCAGAAACACACATACTTTTTCATGCCTAGAAACTCATGGAATCATGCACCGGTTACAGTTGGTAGGATATTCCTGGGGTCCTATCAGGAACTTAAACTTACATGTCTCTGATCATTTACCACACTGGTAAACTTTCAGGCTTAAAGAGGGACTATGCTTGGGCTGGCAATCCTGGTACTTGCTACTAGTAGGTTTCATTCGAGTAAGCCAAGGACAACTTTGTCTGCGAACTGAAATTCTATGACGTATATCAACCTAGTTAATGACACCAGTTACCCAGACAATGTGTCAGTTTTACACAGGGCACCGACTACAACAGTAAACCTGGAGGACGTGGGAACCTGGCAATGGAGCAAGTCCCTCTTTAAATTCATGCTTACTTCCACACAACTACTACAGTAACTTTATTCCTGAACTTCAACACAAAGACAAACCGACAGACTGTGGGATATGCACCAAGTAGCACTATACATTACTATGTCCCACCGAATTACTGCCGACCCATCCACAGAAAATGAACAGCAAGTTAAAGAGGAGACAACTCAGCATCTGATTCCTGAATTTTGGAAGGGTTCATTCCCTTCTAGTTCTTTTCCGCATTGATGCCATCTCGGCTTCACTTCCACGTTTACTGTGCTTCAGATGCACCTGCGACTGCGCAGTTAGCTGCAGTTTTATCGCACTTGTGTTTAGCTTAGATGACGTTAGCAACTTCTTCAGGCCCTTCATCTTCTCACTGCGGAGAGACAAAGAAACTGGGTCCAAGCTTGCTAGAATGTCGACCTTGGTCCCAAGGTCATCTGGTGCTGGTTGAGAATCTGTTTCCTTTCTGCACAGCATCATGTCAGCAGGGCTTTCAGCTTTCAACATGGTTTCAACCGTCAGCCCCATGAAGGGTGTGCCATTCGATTTTGTACTAAGAAATTCATTAATTTCTACTCTGGGCTCGGAGGATGTGGAGGTGGCTATAGCAGTGGCTGTTGTTGTGAAAGGCTCACCCCCTCCTAACAAATAATCCTTGTTCAAAATAGACTCACTACAGGCCTGAGCTAAAGCTGCAATGTTGGGATTGGGCGTGTCATTCTGTCCTTCTTCTCCGACCTTGGAAACAAGTTCCTCGATCGTTGATTTAATTTGATCATCGTCACTCTTACCATTCACACTGACCCCATTTCCGTTACTTTTCACATCATTCTTTGTTTCCGCATCATTCGCTGCTTTCTTTCGGCCCCGTCTCCCTCTCCCAACAGGAGCCGTTCCGTCACTGTGTGATGCTCTTCGTGTTGATTCACGTTTAGCCTTCGGTTCTTGGTTCTCTTCTTCTTCATCATCATCGTCTCCATCAGACGCTCCAACATCCAGGAAACTTCGAACGCGGGGATCAAACTTTGAGAGCGTGTACACTAAGTGCTGCGCCCAACCTACGTGAAGCACTGGCGTAGAGCTTCCCTCTTCCCACTCGCAGATACCGTCATAAAAGCGTAAAATGTCCTTGTATACCTCAGGATCTTGCAGAAGTGGACGTGTCTCTGAATTTCTGTGTAATTCACTTGCTACGCTTCTGACAATGTTTGGAACAAGTTCATTGGCTATCTCCAGGAACTCCTTGTAGATTTCTTCATCTTCACGGTTGTAGTTGAAGCTGCAAGAAAGGAACCAGTGTCAGACAATCAAACACAATGTAGGCCTGCCATGTACATCTCACCCAACCTGGTTCACACTGCTGTCAGACAATCACACACAATGTAGCCTTGCCATGCACATCTCACCAAACCTGGCTTGTATAGCTGTCAGACAATCACACACAATGTAGCCTTGCCATGCACATCTCACCCAACCTGGTTCACACTGCTGTCAGACAATCACACACAATGTAGCCTTGCCATGCACATCTCACCAAACCTGGTTCGTATAGCTGTCAGACAATCACACACAATGTAGCCTTGCCATGTACATCTCACCCAACCTGGTTCGTATAGCTGTCAGACAATCACACACAATGTAGCCTTGCCATGCACATCTCACCCAACCTGGTTCGTATGGCTGTCAGACAATCACACACAATGTAGCCGTGCCATGTACATCTCACCCAACCTGGTTCGTATAGCTGTCAGACAATCATCACACAATGTAGCCTTGCCATGTACATCTGACCCAACCTGGTTTGTATAGCTGTCAGACAATCACACACAATGTAGCCTTGCCATGCACATCTCACCAAACCTGGTTCACACTGCTGTCAGACAATCACACACAATGTAGCCCTGCCATGCACATCTCACCAAACCTGGCTCGTATAGCTGTCAGACAATCACACACAATGTAGCCTTGCCATGCACATCTCACCCAACCTGGTTCACACTGCTGTCAGACAATCACACACAATGTAGCCCTGCCATGCACATCTCACCAAACCTGGCTCGTATGGCTGTTAGACACACACAATGTGGCTCACACTTACCTCTTGACAACAGTGCTGGAATCAGCCCATGCTTGTATGGCATCTTTGTAGACGCAATGATACACACTGTGTCACACTTACCTCTTGACAACAGAGCTGGCATCAGCCCATGCTTGTATGGCATCTTTGTAGGCGCAATGATACACACTGTGTCACACTTACCTCTTGACAACAGAGCTGGCATCAGCCCATGCTTGTATGGCTTCTTTGTAGATGCAATGATACACACTGTGTCACACTTACCTCTTGACAACAGAGCTGGCATCAGCCCACGCTTGTATGGCATCTTTGTAGACACAATGATACACACTGTGTCACACTTACCTCTTGACAACAGAGCTGGCATCAGCCCATGCTTGTATGGCATCTTTGTAGGCGCAATGATACACACTGTGTCACACTTACCTCTTAACAAAAGAGCTGGCATCAGCCTGTGCTTGTATGGCATCTTTGTAGACGCAATGATACACACTGTGTCACACTTACCTCTTGACAACAGAGCTGGCATCAGCCCATGCTTGTATGGCATCTTTGTAGACGGAATGATACACACTGTGTCACACTTACCTCTTGACAACAGAGCTGGCATCAGCGGTCACTTGTATGGCATCTTTGTAGACACAATGATACACACTGTGTCACACTTACCTCTTGACAACAGAGCTTGCATCAGCCCATGCTTGTATGGCATCTTTGTAGACGGAATGATACACACTGTGTCACACTTACCTCTTGACAACAGAGCTGGCATCAGCGGTCACTTGTATGGCATCTTTGTAGACACAATGATACACACTGTGTCACACTTACCTCTTGACAACAGAGCTGGCATCAGCCCATGCTTGTATGGCATCTTTGTAGACGCAATGATACACACTGTGTCACACTTACCTCTTGACAAAAGAGCTGGCATCAGCCCATGCTTGTATGGCATCTTTGTAGACGCAATGATACACACTGTGTCACACTTACCTCTTGACAACAGAGCTGGCATCAGCCCATGCTTGTGTGGCATCTTGGTAGACGCAATGATACACACTGTGTCACACTTACCTCTTGACAACAGAGCTGGCATCAGCCCATGCTTGTTTGGCATCTTTGTAGACGCAATGATACACACTGTGTCACACTTACCTCTTGACAACAGAGCTGGCATCAGCCCACGCTTGTATGGCATCTTTGTAGGTGCAATGATACACACTGTGTCACACTTACCTCTTGACAACAGAGCTGGCATCAGCCCATGCTTGTATGGCATCTTTGTAGACGGAATGATACACACTGTGTCACACTTACCTCTTGACAACAGAGCTGGCATCAGCCCATGCTTGTATGGCATCTTTGTAGACACAATGATACACACTGTGTCACACTTACCTCTTGACAACAGAGCTGGCATCAGCCCATGCTTGTATGGCATCTTTGTAGAGTTTCTTCCTGTACAGGAATCCCCCGAGATATGTGTATGGATAGACATGCTGGTTGTTGTAATTCTTCTTGCATGATGTGATGGCCTCCTTGAAAAGTTCCAAAGGCGGCGGTCGACCAGGTGAGGTAGATATCTCCTCCAAATCTCCCAAGTTGCCAAGGGCCATGGGATACCTGTAGAGAGGGGACATTTAGCTTACAGCTTTCACTGACTACACATTTGATCAAATAACACACACAATAACGATATACAGTTACCTTGGAACCAAGCTTGGCAAACCTAGTCAGGGTGGAAGGAATACTTTGAAATAAGATGAGCTATCAGTCAGTCAAGTATAAGACAATCTGAGCTGACCACATATCTACAAAGGGATAAATAGGGCTCAATTTAAGGAACTTGATTTTACTTGCACAAGGTGCAAGTTGGCATGAAGAGCTAGTTGCACCAGACCAGGGGTGAAAATTTAAAATCCCTATCGGACATTTGCATTTAGGCCACGCCCCCTTCAAATAGCGTATTTTAGTACGACTTTTCACACACATTACAAGTTTACGTACTCATAATATGATGAATTATGAATTGTTTCAATTTAAATTGTTTAATTCACCGGACAATTAATAACAAATAATATCATTTTAGATATACATGGAAAACATACGTTTGTTTCTGTTATAATAACGATCTGTTAACGTAGTGAACGGTCTAATTAATATTCATGAGTCTGCTCAAGTGTACGCATTGTAACATTTGGATCGAGACTATTATCCCATATTTGGTTATCACGTGACCACACAGGAATTTATTTTTTTTAAACTAAAGATTTCTTTAAAAACAAGACAGATAATTTAATCAACAATACTAAAATATCGTTGATAGCAATAGTTATTTGAATACTTTTTTCATCTGTACTTAATTAATGACCATAAAAAAATTGGATATCGATCGTCTGAGAAAGCAAAATGGCGGTCAATCAAGATTCAATATACGACTAGCTACTGAAAACAATAAAATCTGCAAATCCTCATTGTATGTCAACCAAGTGAATGTCGTTAGCCACGACTTACAAAATGATTGTCCAGACTTTGAGGGTTTGGCAGATCCGCTCGACTGATCTGCATCGGTCGACTGGCTGTTGTCACGCTTTCGCTTCTTGTCTGAGGTTACATATCGTAGCATTGTGAGGATAATGAGGTACATCGATGATGCAAGGTATTAATGTACAGTTGTAAACACCTTTCAAATAACAAGATGTTCTCAGTAATTAATCCTCGATTAATCAGTGTCAACTCAGTTTATTGCCTATTACAGTGATTGACTGATTGGACTATCATGTAGGTACGATGTATTTACAGCAATCAAAACAAACAAAGCTTGTCAGTGTAGTTTATCTTCATTGTGTTGCAACTGCAGACAGAAACTACTCAGTCCTAACTGTTGATCATGTCCGGTCAAAATTTAAGAATGTCCGGACAATACTTTTTAAAATGCCCGGTAAGCAATATTTTAAAACGGAAATTTGAGATTCCCAATCGGACATGTCCGGTGCATATGACGGTTTCCGGACCCCTGCACCAGACAAAACCAATTTGCGCTCAGGTCCCATAAATAATCAAAATTGAAACATATTTGCACCAACTTCTGTATATGACTGTAGATAAGCCGATCTCATGGATAAGCTGAGGCATTAACTTTGTTCTTGAAATCTGTATCAAAATGTAATGTGCAGTAGAAAAGCCGGACTTCCAACCTTAAACCATGTCTCGTCATGATCTGTCATCGAAAATAGAATATCAACAAATCCATATTTAATTACACAAGTTAATCCTGTCGTTACACCATTGGTAATAAAAAGTGTTCATTGTATATCTGGACTCATGTTTGTAATCTACGTGATCTATTTTATTAATCATAATCAAACTTTCATTTAATAATATTTACATAATTTTGGTGAAATCATGTGTTCCTCTGATACTTACAACTTCCATTTGCCCTGGTCCGCTTTACCAACATATCGTTATTTACAGCAACCACGATCATATTACCGCTATTGACACTTTGAAACCAACCTTAGTTGACAGAGAATGGATACGTATGTCATAACCGCCATACTTTGACTTGTTAAAAGTAATACAACTAAATGTCAACATTGTTTCTGCAATGGAAATAGCAAGATCGCGTCAAACCTCAACGGTGATTTGTCAAATTGTTCCTTGCGAATAAGTGCTACTGCACAATCAAGGTTACAGTTAACGTTATATTGAAGATATATAGTAAAACCTCCAATTAAAATAAAACAACATCAGAATATATTATTCGTAGTAAAATAGTAGTTTAAGATACAATTTTTTCAATCAATGCATCAAAATTCTTTTCCGTTATATTATTGGGTATGTTTTAACGTCATCGCAGGTAGATTGGGAGAAAATGTGTCTACAGCTGAATGCTATTTCACAGAGTAATCATTATCCCTGCGTATAAAACAATGCCTAGCATAACAAGAAATACAATCGAAACGATAAATTATCATGTATAGTGATGTTTAATTGCAAATTTCACATTTTCATTGACCAAGTTTGTTAAAGCGCTGTTCAGTCACCTGATGTAGTTTTTTTACCAAAAGAAAAAGAATTTGATGAAATTGTAACTCACACATAAGCCGACCCCTTTCTACAGAATCTATTCTGTCAAAATTCGGCTTATCTACGGTCATATACGGTAGTTAAAATCTCATATCTCTGATGACTGTGTCATGTATTATGAATTAACTACACAAAACACATAGAATTGTAACATAGTGTGGTAAATAAAGGTTAGAGGTACTGCATTTATTCGAAGATCAATGTTGGACAAGTAAGGGTTTGTCAAGCAAACATTTGAATATGTGCATGTAGATAAAAATATAAGGATGCATTTTTCAATAATAGGTTGCACTGGTACATGTTTTATAGCTAAATCGAGCCCTTATAATACAACATATTTGAGAAATTAAAGCAACTAGAACAAAAGAACTTCTATACCGGACGGACCTCTGTGCATCACGTACGTGGGTTATGTCCAGTGATATAACACTATATTGTGAGGTCTACTGAATGAGGTTTATCTGTGTTCCAGCTGTGTGATGATTGGCTCAACTTACTTCGCTAGATGACCTTTATCATACAGCAGCCACAGTAATTCCTGAAAAAGGGAGAACAAAACCACATCAAAAGCAGTCTCTAATTATCTTCTTTAGGTCCAAAAAAATAATATTATTTTAAGCCTTAGTTGTACTCTGATAGCGGATGGGTACAGCATGATTGTTATCCTTTATTTAAATCTTCCTGTTCATTGGTTGATCTTCCATGGTGTCTCAGACAGTGAGAGAATGCTATTTTATGCCAATTGCCATGAGCTTAACTCTTTCACTAGTTTCAGCTACTTCATGTCAGACCCCGCTGGCCTCAAAGTTGCGACGAAAACGGTCACCGGTGCGACCTAAATTTCAATTTGCCTAGTGTCTACTGTCTAAAATTCAGAGGTAGCCAACTTGCTCAAAGCAATATTCCAGCAATATCACACCTGATAACTGGCTTCAAACTTTGTTCCCAATTGGAGAATCAAACCCCAGCCTTCGGCGTGATGAGCAAAAGCTTTAATCCCTAGACTACCACATCGTCCACAATAGAAAAAGGTGAGCATGGCACAAAGTACCACAATACACTGATCCACACAACATCCTTCTTTTCCTTGTTGTCATTAAGAGAAATCTACATGAATATAGGATGTTACTCTCATTCCAATGAATACCAAAATTTGAATGTTTCTTGAGTAACCTTGTTCCACCTCTGATAATACACCCACACTGAAAGCATCCATAAGTAGTCTGAGTGAGTGAGTGAGTGAGTGAGTGAGTGAGTGAGCGAGTGAGTGAGAAAAAGCCCGAAGTGATGCAGGTCTCAGACGTTTACCACTTTGGTGAAACCCACGAGCATGGGTATGGTGCTGACAAACCTAGAAACATAATCGGGGCTAACCAGGATTCGAACCCACAATCATAGGTTTCTGGCGTGTCCGAGGGACGCAACTCTGCACAGCGAATCCAGCGCCTTAGACGACTGGGCCCCCCGTGCCCCCCATAAGTAGTCTGAACAGTATACTTGAGCATGTAGTTTTGGTGAATAGAAAAATAAATTAAAATAGCAGCTCCAATTACATTCTTTGGTCTCATCGTTGGTGTACCTAGAATGCAGGGAATTCCCGGGTCTGCCTTTTTTCGAATCCCGGGATTCTCAGACATAAATTTGAGTGGTGTAAGGTATGAACACTGGGGGCCAGTCGACCTGTTACACACTTCACTTGATTTCCAAGAATTTTATCGATGTCACATCATTGCACAATAATGTGTCCTGCTTGTCTAATATTTGCTAAAGGGAGGCACATATGTAATTCTTTTTTAAATCACTGAAACTAACTCCAACAACTATTCAACCTTTAAACCAAGGATCATTAGGACAAACATGATGCACAAATATGAACTGAATCCTGCTGTCTACAGACCATAATATTTGTTTCACCTTTCGAAAAGGAATTTTTCAATTAACATATACCATTTGTGCTGATGAAAAGTACAGTGAAAGATTATTCCTAACAAAACTGTTCAGATGTGAATAAATTTCCGCACTCAGCAATATTCCAGCTATATCACAGCAGCCATTATCAAAATAAGTCTGGACCAGACAGTCCAGTGATCGATAGTGTAAGCAATGATCAATGACGTCAGGGTACAATGACATACAATCAACCAAGTCACCGAGCCTAACTATCTGATCCATGAAGTCGCCTCTTACGACCAGCATAGGTTGTTGGGGAGCAATTCAAACCCCGAATCCTCATGGGGCCTATATTACATTTGAAATAATATATTTTTAAATTGTCAGAGGGAAAGGCTATTTGGCATCATTGTAAGTGTGCATACCTGCTGCAGGGTTGCTTGGGAGCAATTCAAACCCGGAATCCTCATGGGGCCTATATTAAATTTGAAATAATTTTATTTTTAAATTGTCAGGGGGAAAGGCTATTTGACATCATTGTAAGTGTGCATACCTGCTGTAGGGTTGCTTGGGAGCAATTCAAACCCGGAATCCTCATGGGGCCTATATTAAATTTGAAATAATTTTATTTTTAAATTGTCAGGGGGAAAGGCTATTTGACATCATTGTAAGTGTGCATACCTGCTGCAAGGATCCCATCTCCACACTGTCCATGGTGGCGTTTAAAGACGGATTTATTCCAGACACAATGGCTGCTGTCTCCATGTGCCGGCTGCACACCACGGGCTGGCCATTCAGGTATAACCAACTCTTCTCTGTAACGCCAACGTTGATTGGCTGACCTCGCTTGTCCTCATTGCCCTTGCCTAGCAACAGATGCACAACATGACAACAGGATTAAAGGAATAACAATGTACATGTTCTACCTGGCTAACACTTTGTCACAGGAATAAAGTCATCTTATTTAAGATATAAAATATAAACCAAATGGGGCACAGAACAATGCTAAATTTCAGCCTCAAGCAGTGGCAAATCTAGACTTACCAAATTATACTAGCCTTGAGTTGATTTCCTTTTTTAACATATTCTCTAGAGTCTGGGAGACAGACGAATGTTCTACTAGCAAGGCAAAATGTTATTAGATTATTCTGAGAAATTGGTAACAGACACACACATATATACTGAGAATCATCGGGTCATCGATCTACGTAAATGGGATCGATGACATGCATCAACCAAGTCAGCGAGCCTGACCTGGCGTTAAACAACAGACCAACCAACTGTATGTGAGACCACTGGCCCATACACAAGATTTGTATGTTTGTTTGTTGTTTAACGTCGCACTCAGCAATATTCCAGCTGTATGACGGCGGTCTGTATATAATCAAGTCTGGACCAGACAATCCAGTGATTGTCATTGAGCATCAATCCATGCAATTGGGATACGATTACATGCATCAACCAAGTCAGTGAGCCTGACAACCCTATCCCCTTAGTCGCAAGCATGGGTTGCAGAAGATTATTCTACCCCGGATCTTCACAGGGCCCTATACACAAGAGCAACTTAAGGGACGGAAATTAACCAATAATGTCAACTAGCCAGAATAATGCAACATATAGCAATACGCCCAAAATATTTGAAATTCTACTAGTCCTTAGAATACCTTCATACTAAAGGGCAAGTAAAATGAAAAAAAAGAAAGATCCGAGGTAGAATAGGTCTTTAGCAACTCATGCTGGTCATAAAAGACGACTAACGGGATTGGGTGGTTTGGCTAGCTGACTTGGTTGATGCATGTTATCGTATCCCAATTACGTAGATCGATGCTCATGATGTCAATCACTGGATTGTCTGGTCCAGACTCGATTATTTACAGACCGCCGTCATATAGTTGGAATATTTCTAAGTGCTGTGTTAAACAACAAGCAAACAAACATCTTCTATCAAATGTAAATCCAAATCGTTGACTTTTTAATTACACATACATATATTCCGTGTTCCACAGTTAACTTTGACATGCATGTACAGACTTTTGCCAACCCGCGACGATAAAAAGCAAATTAAGAATTTGTCAAATACAACTCAGTTCCTAACTCATATACACAACTAGATTGCAAACTATTTAACTGCCCATGAGTTATTCTTACTCATATCCTTAACACTTTGTTTACAATTTGAACATTGCTCACTTCCTGAAAGTGACAAGGCAAAACCAAAACCGAAACTAAACACGACATTCTTGACAGAAGCTGCCAACATGACTATAAGCACAATCCAAGACATAAAGCATTTCGTATGCTTATGGTTTTTTGTGCTACAGGGCAGAGCTCGAGACAAGCTTTTGGTTATTTGGGGATTATTTAGATTGGCAATCCACATTTTTTAGAGGGTATTCAAATATTTTTTACCCACCTGTTTCCTGATATTTGGGTATATTAACTTGAAAACCTGTTTCGTAAGAAACCCTGCAATTCAATAATTCATTTCATGCGGCTCACTCTCCAGGAAGCCATTTTTGTTTGCAAAAAGGCATTGTAAGAAAGGCACTATTTTAGTGTAAATTGGAATAATTTAAGAAGAAAAAAACACCCACACTGTCAGAAGAGGACACAATCAGCCACCCAATCCCCTTTTTAGCCACCCCCTAGAACAAGCATGAGATATTGGGGACCTATTCTGAGTCACACTCACAAGGCCAAGTTTGTAATGACTGACGTGTGTTCAGATCTTCTCTTGCAAAGTATCAAAAGCGCCTGGACACCCTTCCAACTCTTTCTAAATTTGTATTTTTCTCCTCAAAATTATGTATGTACATACGATTTGAATAAGATGTAACAAGCAACATTATTTTAATTAAATATACTTTTCAAGCTATATGACAGCAGCCATAAATTGTCAAGTTTCGACGAGACAATCCACCGACTGATATCATGAGCAAAAGATCCATGCTGTCTGGATATGATGGGACACTACCATCCAAGTCACCTGATTCGTTAAGTCTCCTCTTATGACTAGCATAGGCTGCTGGTGACATTTTCTAACCTGGAACCCCAAGTGGGTCAACTGTATTCACTAAAACAAAATTGTCCCCATAAAAGTGAACCTGTAATTACCATGCCATGTGACTTCAGCTGACTCTGTCAAGTCCTTCCCGAACACAACCCATGCATGGTCCTCGGACAGCGCCAGGTGTACATCGTTCAGACGCAGAACTTGGCAGGCTGCCACAACCGCAAATGCAACACCAAAACAATCTAGCTTGTTTCCTGGAAAAAGAATAAAGGGCTACTTTAACTCACAATTCTTGTCAAATTAGTTTTAGGAATCAGAAGAAAGAAAGGGTCAGTGAAGCTGAAAACTGCTTTTGACCAACACTGATACCAGTCTCGATCTGTGACACCTGCAAAAGAAGCAGGTTGTGTTAATTCAGGACAATCAAACCATGATTTGATAAAGACAAAAAGTTGCGAGTTTTTTTAATGTAATGGCAACAGTCTGTTGTTTCTTGGCAGCTGAGAACAGGCAAAGTTGCCTCCCTTACACAGTTCTTGTAGGACAACAAGAATTATATTTGTTTTCTTTTTGCAATAACAATATGACACATGTCACATGTGCAAAGTAGACTCAAACAAACTTCAGTGGTAATACGCTAGAGCTAAAGATGTGCGGTATTGTCGGTATATCGGTAAATTGAGGTTTATTCTTTCCTCGGTACATTTGACAATATCATTTTTTCATGCTTGATGTGGGGTGGTGGGGTAGCCTAGTGGTTAAAGTGTATTTATTGACTGAGTAAACATCATGTTGTACCAGCATCTTGTTTTGTTTCATTTATGAACTTCAATTCATACCTTAATGTATCAGATTGCTGCTGAATTCAAAATCTAACATTATACAATATTGTCGTACGAATCACAATACGGCCTTGTGCATTGCAAAATATTGTGATACACTTTAAACCTCCAATACCCATCCCTAGCTAGGGCATCTATGTGCTTAATGAAACTTTTCTGTTGTAATAATAAATACATCATCGAAACAACTTGTGCAGACAACTTGATTAGGAGGAAGCTGATAACAGATGAATGACAACAACTGCTAAACTGGTTGTGTTGTCACCAACAAATGGAAAAGGCATGGTACATTCTGGAATAAAACTTGGGGCCCCCCGTTGGTAATAAACCACATATAAGAAAGACATGCTTTTGAGCCATGTTAGAACATGAAACACCTGAGGGTGTACGATATGTTGTCAAAGTCAATATAGTTTAAATTACCAGTAACCACTGGTAACCGGAGTTAGTAATTGGCACTAGTCCTATAGTTCTTGCCAAACTGCCCAATAGTTAAGGTATCGTAAGGACTAGTAGAAATTTGCCCTTTTTAAGGGTTTTGCTATATGCTATCATTATAAGGACTAGTCGTCTAAAACTATTAGTTTCTAACGCTGGGTAACAGGTCTTGGTAATTACTACAAAGAACAATACATAACTGTCTATGTTTACAGATATCCCAACTCTTTCCGTAAAATGCTCAACTGAAATTCCATCCTCCTGTAAATATAGATTTTGCAACAAAACAGTATTTAAATGTTAAATGTTAACGTACTGTCATTAATTCTTCCTTTTAGAAATAACATCTTCTAAATAATATTGGATGATATATATTTTATGTTACTTCTTCAGATTAATGCACCTTGAACAGCACTGGCCCGGTATAAGGGAGGGAACTCTGGGAGTTTTAGCAATATGGATTATATAACATGTATTTACCAGACGTAGAATGCTAAATTGTTCACAAATACAAATTTAACTTTCAATGCAACAACACATATTTACACCATGTTCATAGACATGATCTAGGCCTACAGTGTTGAGTTTACATATCACCATCAAGACAATTAGAGGAAATGATTAATCAATATTTCAAAATGCTGTTGCTCTAATAAATTGTATATTAACTCAACAAGGACTTAAAATGTTGTGACAGAACATATAAACATGATAAGAAATCAAGGTAAAGCTATGAATGTCAATAACAACAAGGAACACCTCAATCTCACATAAGCTACAAATGAGGTAGGTACAATAACACGTTTCTCAGGAAGAATATTAAATAATGATTCATTATCCAATGTTATCAGCTGCATGTCATTGCTTTATTACCAAGCACATTTTATTTATGACAATATGAGTAATGTTGGTGATCAATAACGAAAATCATAAATTAACTCCAACCCTCTCTATTAAACAGTCCTTTTTATTTCCCAGTTACGAAATGTACCAGTAACTAAACGCTTAAGCAAGCAATCAATAACTAAGATGTGCGCGTCCACCGACCTCGGGTTTATTATAATATTAAAATATAGCAATATGATAATGAGGAACTCTTTACTCAATCGATGGTCTCTGCTAGTGTGAATCGTCATAGGCAAATGGTAGTGCACCGGCTGCGCACTAGAATTACTGCGCGCAAACTGACAGGTGTCGTCTATAAACAAAATCAAGACTATGAAGAAACGACATCATGGCAACTCATTTAGTCACAAAGATTTCATAGATAAATGATTAAAATTCACATCGGTACACCGAAATCCATACGATTTTAATTAGATTGACCACAGCATGAGATCGCATGTGAGGTACTTACCCGTCAGAAAGCTGTAGAGAGATTGGAGGTGTGCTTTATCCTTGTAGTAACTGCGCGTTAGCGAACTCCAAATAACGTCTGACACCTTCTTCACTAACTCTCGTGAGGAATACTCCCCAGTGTTGTTTGACAGATCAACAGAGCTCTTGACAAGCGTCACAAATTTAGTGTAGAGCGCTTCAACTGTAGAAAGTTCGATCACAGGAAAGATCGGTTCCAAACCTTTGGCTTTATCGTCCCGTGATGACACTGCTCTGTTGAGTGTCAGTGTATTTTCAATACACCCCAACACAATTGACAATAAAGCCAGGTTGGGCTCTTCGGAATTTGCCAGTTGATCTCTAAATAAGTCGACAGCAGATTGAATACTTTGTAGAGGGAAATGTTGTTTTTCGCGATCCCGAAAGCCCGCCATCTTGAAGCCGCTTATCGGCTTTCATCGGCCTACGTTCGGATCTTTCCGTAAAATTTGCTTCCGCTTTTCGATGATTGTCGGAAACCAGCGACAACAAGTTACTAGCAAAGAACCGAAATAAAAATCAGTTTGTGGTAGTAAGTCCAAAACACATTAGCTTATTTACAACGTCTATAATGTTCTTAATTATAAAAACATATCTTGCTTATAATGTTTTAACTATCTTATAAATGTATTAACTTGGTTTAATTCATACTAGCATTTCAGGTAATTTGGAGAGTATTTCAACAAGATGGCTGAAAACACGAGTACTGAGAATGCTGTGGAAGGTTCCTCAACCGTTTCTACTGGGAATGGGGATGGAAATCAAGTCCAAAATGGAACAGACCAGTCTGCCCAGGTTCAGCTATTTCTTCTGAGTCTAGATGTGTCTCATTTGTATGACTCATGATGAGAAATCGAAGTCGCGCGTTCGCTTTTCTATCGCTGATTACTCATGTACCTGCCCCGGCTCTTGCAGAATTATGCTCATTATGCTTTCTGAATCATAAATCAGTTATAACCGATTTGTTTAATCAGAGGTTCTTCATAGGCTGAAGAGCAAATCTAAACACGTGTTCACTAATTCTTCTCGAATCAGAAAAGGGGATTTCAACAATTTTTACTAGTCCTAGATTTTAACTAACCCCTCTCATCACAGATCTCGCATGCCTCTTCGATCCTTAGGTTTAGGGTAGGTTAACCCTAACTCGATCAACCACCCCTCTACGAACATTAGGGTTATGTACTCCTTTCCGATTAAACACACCTATCCCACCCTTAGGGTTAGGCACCCCTTATGATCCTTGGAGGGTTAGGTGTGAGGTAGGGTATGGATTAGCTATCCCTTTAAACGAATTAATCCAATGCATTTTGAGGAAACTATTTGATCAAGTTTCGAGTTTCAAGGAGAAAATGGCTACCGTGCATGCACATTAAGGTAAACAATTGGGTGCTAATGACTTGGTAAACAAGCACTCATTCTCTGTGATAGCCCCCGTAGTAGGTGTTGGTTAATTAGATTACCGTATTCGACTTAATAAGGGCACAGGGCGCTCTCAAAATTAGAAATAGGGAGCTCTTATTAGAATATTATTTTGGTTGAAAAAACAGAGTTGAAAGATAAATTTCGAGGTTTATGCTGACGGCCTGATACAATGGATATATTTTTCCAGAATTTAACTGCAGATAATTAAGGGTGCATATAACACGCGAGTGTGTATTATACACGAATAAATAGGTCTTGCATACATTGATCAATCGGAAGGGGTGCTAATTGGGATTGTTCCCTGGTCAATATATTAGCAAATATCGCCGTGGGCGCTTATTACGTCGAATACAGTATTTCATTATTGTTAGCTTCAAGCTGGCAACATGAGTTTGATCCTCACATGTCACCTCCACATGTTCATAACTGTATGAACGACACAATTTGACATTTATACGTTTTTCACAAGACAATTCTTGAAATGACTTAAACACTGATGGACTATTTCCACATTCCTGGGGAAAGCCATTCTTCATAAATATCCTCGCTACAACCCATCCTATTGAACAAAACAAAGAAATGCATGTCAAAACTATGGTAGCATTGACTCGATTCATGTCTAGACTGGCAAGTATCACTATCAGTCTACAGGAATCTATAAATTTAACTTAGTATCTATTTAACACATCTCTTTAATCACCTTTCAATGATCGGCCAATTGATCAATGACGACCCACACTTGTAATCACCACAGGTTCATGAACAACTTCGAAAGTATCTTCCGTCACGTTTATCGTGTCAGTCATTTTGACGTCTCATAATTTATGTATTACATGCGTTGACACTGACTGATTTACTGATGTAGTTCTTAAGAGTGCAGCATTAAACAACAAACAAACAAATCTTAAGAGCCCTTTTTCATATAATGATGATATTATTTAGATCTATTTGTGAGGGCTAAACATTGTATGAACGCCGTCACAAGCTCCAATGTTCATACCGTTTGATCCTCATTCTATGAAGGTTCATACTGAATGAAATCAAACAAAGTGAAAGTCAATTCTTAATTGGCTACAATATCTTAAAATATTTTTGAGACATCTATGTGACCAATATCTTCTTGAATCATGTACCACCACAAGCGTATACATATGTATTACATTGAACGTGAACTTTGAATAAGGATTCCAGATCAAAACCAAAAACTGGTACAGGTTTTTGAAGGCATGATGGCAGACCCAAAAAAACAGCTACCTTTTTTTATTCCTATCTGGACCTACTGATTGTTCCCTTTAGATGAAATAAACTAGAAGCTCTTTTAGAATTCTTGTGAGAACAATCTCTACCATATGCACATGTCAAGGAGACCTTCAGATTGTTAGTCCAACAGGCCCAATTGAGCTACATCAGCACAGTCAAAGTTAGGGCAAATTTACCTCGTCATGCATAAAATGTTATCGAAAGGGTGGTGACAGACACTTAGTGTGGTAATGGGTAGCCATGGTGTCAGTCTACGGACACTGAAAAGTGGCCATGATGCCATTTATCACCACTCTTCCCACTCCATAATCTACAAGATCCCAAGGTTTTTGGAATGTTCAGTATATGGCGTGTACTGTAAACAGCTCAAACATGTATTTTGGCATCATTCCAGCATTTCCAGCATGTTTTACTTTTGGTGTAAGTATTTGGACTAGTAAAAACTTATTTCGATATACCTGGAATGTTTTCAGTAGCCTAAGGCTTTGGACAAGTAGCTAAGGTCACAAACTGAAATGCAAAAGTATAAAAGAAATTATCTAATTTGAAAATTTTAATCATGGTATCCATGGTGTCATGTTACTCAGCAGTTGTAACCAAATTATTAATGTCACTATATATATAAGTGCAATAATGTTTCAACTTGCCTTAACTCTGCTTATTTTGTTTTAGCCTGCACAGCAGCCTGCCCCCAGACAAAACATGTGGTCCATACTGAAGACTCTGGTTGTCCGCATGTTGTTCATCTATTTCATCGCCAGTCTCTTCAAACGTTCACCCCAGACAAACACGACTACTGATGGGACCGCTGGATCATCCATCATGCAGAAACCATCATCAAATGTGTATTCAAAAGACATGAGAATGGTTTGTGGTTTATGTATTTACAAAAAAGCTGGTTTTTAGTGAGAAGATAAATCGGTGATCTTTTGATATGATAAATTACATTCTAAAACAATTAGAAATCTGACAAATATAGTTATTAAACTTATCCTATCTCACTATACGCATTTCTTCTTCGATCTTATGTGGAAACATGCTTGTACAGAGTTTCCAGCCTCTAAAAAAACAATTCACCCTAACACATCCATCACCATGGTCACCACCTAAACAAATGGGTCACACAGTGTAATCCCCTGCATCGCTACTCACTGGAGATGTGTACTGTCAGTGTTGGAGAAGATAGTTTTTTGTTTGTTTTTCATAGTTTTCCATACCACATAGTAGTGATAATGTATTACATCTGGGAATATGAGTAGGAAAGATCGCCCGGACTGCCTGGAGGCATACTTTTTCTACATCATACCCTCAGGATTGATGCTGCGATTGCTGAGGTCGGTGTAGTTCTGACAAGAGGTGCTCTTTGTGTAATCATCTTCCGGATGAATCATTCAGTGTATATCTTCAAAAGTGTCATTGACGTGAGGTGGATCACCGTTCAATGTCCAAGAAATGAAAGGACGCTATCAAGCACAAGTCGTTATCTACCAAGAAGCCCAACCAACCAACTGTCCCCTCCTCCAATGACAGGAGAGTCAGTACTTTTGATTCAGGATAGGATCACGGCTATCTTGTACCTCGTCTCTCATCATGTGGGTTCGGTCACAGCCTTATGACGCAGAGGCGTTCTTTAAACTTGCCATTGGCATGTTGCTTTCAAATCTGTTTGTATCTCAGAGTCTCTTTGCGGACCGCATTCAGGATGTTGCGCAGGATGTTCAGTGGGATACCCTGCATCTACAGTGACAACACTTGGAGGATCAACAGGAGAAAGAGCATCAGCGCCAACACTTAGTTCCCGCCTAATGGGACCTCCGCGAAGTTCTCAGGGGACGATCAAGCTCTTTTCGTGGCAGGGACATAGAATGCCATAGAATGTTTCTACTCACTAATATTTTTCGTCCAGAAAATAGACAGCCTCAAGATTCAGTTCATTTTCAGCATGAAGCATTCAACGCTTTATACCTAGAAAACCCTCCGCATTTCCACATGACGTAATTTGCGCTTCTTTGTACAATCATTCGTCCCGGTGGTTTTATGATTAGTCTCGACTTACAGGACGTTCACCATCACGTTCCTATCCATCGGAATCACTGCCATTTCCTATGGTTTGTTTCAAAGGCTGCAACTACCAATGGAAGGTACTCCCAGGGGATAGTGTTCGAGTCCTACATAGAAGATTACATTCACCCCAATGCAGATCCAAACATCCTATTACAACATCTCAAGTTCTCACAATGTCTTCTCCATCAGCTCGTCAACATAGGCAAGTCCGAGATGACTCCCACTCAACGACTTCTTCTTCTTGACATCCACCTCGGCAAGCTGTTCGTTCCTCCAGATTCAGCACCCCCTGCCGTTGGCACTCAGACAACCGCTCCTGCTACATCAGTGGGACCTGTGAAGATCTGGGGTAGAATAGGTCTTCAGCAACCCATGCTTACCGTAAAAGGCGACTGTGCATGTCATAAGAGGTGACTAACAGGATCGGATGGCCAGGCTCACAGACTTGGTTGATGCATGTCATTGTATCCCAATTGTGTGGATAGAAGCTCATGATGTCAATCACTAGATTGTCTGGTCCAGACTTGATTATTTACAGACTGCTGTCATATAGCTGGAATATTGCAGAGAGTGTGGCGTTTAACAACAAACAAAAACGTCAATGGCAACAGATCCTTGGCCTTCTGAGTTTGGCGCAAGCCCTCCCTTTGAGGGGTTAACTACCCTCCTGATGGCCAGAAACCGATCTCACTGTTGCTTCCCTTGCGTCCACACCTTCAGTGGTGGCTGGTAACATCAAATGTTTGTGACAGATTCTCTATGCGGCCTTTCTCTCGACCAGTGTTCTACCCTCAGGTCCTTCAGAAAGGGTCTGCCGCCAGTCTCCTCACACTGATTTTGGTCCCTTTTTGCCAACACGGAATTGGTTCACCACGTTGGTAAAGTTTGTCCAAAGAAGGTTCCACCGTCTTCCACTACAAGATGACCTACTTCTGTAGCCTCACTCCCATGTGCACCACCTGTCACTTGACACCCTACATCTTTGCGTTTGGTCCATCTACAGAGGTTCCTTCTATTCTCAGCGGGTAGCTAAGACCATCACGGAGACTCACCATTCCTCTACGACCACAATTGGAAGGCATTTGAGGCTTGTTGTCTTGCTTGTGACATCTTTATTTCCACCACTGCTTCTCCGCAACAGATCGCCAATCTATTTGGCCAACTCTGTCATTGCTACTACCACGGGATCGAAGATTCCTAGAGTTGCTGAACTTCAGTCCCTCATTTGGCCCTATAAGTTGGCAGACCAATGATCCCGTTTCTGGCCACTCACTTGAGATGTAAACATCATCCTCTGTCGTTTGACTTCGGTCGAGTATTAGTATGCGACTGCTGCATGCGTTAGCAAGTTCCATGCTCTTGATGTAACTTATGTTTCGTAAACAGTCTGGTTCAAACAGAGAGTGGGATGTTTTTTTCTGGGACTTCGCTTGGATTTTGTCGCAAAAAAACAGCATCCATGAAAACAAGAACGGCTGTTTATGGTCTTGTCACTGGCATCCATCATGACGCTGATGACCTTGAAGATAGCTCCTTATGTTTGGTTTGCGCGCTCCGAATCTACTTGGCAACTTTGACACTCTCAGAAGAGACACTTCATCCCACTTTCAACGTCAGGCTGAACTGAAGTCTCCCATACCACAATCTCCTTTTGGCTCCAGTCGCACATACTATGGGCCTACACTTATAATGGATTGCCGCCCCGATCACATCCAATCCTCACGAGACTTGAGACGTCGCCGCTGCCATGGCCTTGCACAGCAATTGCACCCTGTCCGCCTTTATTATGGAAGGGTGCATTTGGAACTCTGATACAGTCTTCGCTTCCCATTATCTCCGCATGTGGCTGCCTAGTGGTTAAAGTGATTGCCTGTCATGCCAAAGACCCTTGTTCAATTCCCCACATGGGCTCAATGTGCGAAGCCCCTTTCTGGTGTCCCCCTGCCATGATATTGCTGGAATATTGAAAAAATGGATACTCACTCACTCTTTATCTCCGTGACATCTCTGTTACAAACGTCTAGGGCCTTCATCAATTCGGTCCCTTGGTCCTGGCACAGCAGCTGTTAACTGCACACCAGCACAGATAACCAATGCATGTACCTACTCCTGCTTTTATATACAGAATAAGTCTTGGAACTTTGCTTCTGTGTTTATTGTTTTTTTGTTATTCTGGTTCCCAGACTGAGTCCCCAATTGAAGGGTCGATTCGCTCGTCTGTAGAGACTTAGGTCTTCAACATCAAAGTCACCACACAATTCCTCTAGCCTGTTGCTCTGACAGAAGAGAATGACGTGGCAGGGGTGGTCATGTCGCTATTCACAGGATTACAGTTTGGGATCCATTTGTTTGAGTGGTTACCATGGTGATGCAGGGATGTCGTCGGGTGAATTGATTTTTGGAGGCTGGAAACTTTGTTCAAGTACATTTCCACATAGGATTGAAGAAGAAATGCATAGTGTGAGATAGGATAAGTATATAAATATACAATTTATTTTGAAGATTTAAGATTTCGAAGTTTGCTAAACATCTTTGTACTTCGTATCTACCAATCTTCCTTATGCAGGAAAGTAATCAAAGTAATCTCTTGGAGAAATGATTGTAGATGTAGATTGTAGGCCTTTTTTTTAATAAATGTAAAAGAAATATGGTCAAAGTTCTATCTACCATAAAACAAACACTTATTTTACCCATAGTCGGAGTTAAGCCAATATCAGACCACAGTACCAATGAAGACTCTTCTCTTACAATAAAGTTACATCGTCTTATATTATAGCTTGAGTAAGGTTTCTGAATGGAGCAGTAATTTGTAAAAGCCAATACCGTCTTTTCTTGTGTATAATGTACTCTTGTTAGAATAAAATACAGCTGTATAGACATGGTTGCACATGAAGCTTTCAACAAGTTTTAACTTTACTCTTTGTTTCATGAAGTGGTATTTATGTGTGAAATCAGTGTGTTGACTATGTAATATTTGTTTCAGGACATGTATGTATATGTGTCGGAGCAAGAACATTTCACAGACTTCAAGAATCCTGATGCATTGTTTTGGACAAAGCGGGCACTTGTGTATGGAGACTGGACCAGTGGACTGGATGGAGATGGGTCATATGTTCACAGTGATCAGATTAAAGCAACTCCGGTGTGTGCATATTGATTATCTGCTGAAAAATGTAGATTAGCTGACTGATTGTAGAGGAAAAGTGTTTTATATCTTTAATCCTTCCAAGAGTAAAACGTAAGTTTCAGAAGAATGATCAAGTGATGTACATGAGATGTTTGTAGCGGTTAATCTGCATTTATTTTCTGGGCACTGAAAATAATCATCATGCTTTATAGTGCAGTGTGCCTGTGTAGTTTAGAAATTTAAACAAGGGTCACATGTACAGGCTATTGGTATGGAAACTGATCATGCTTTATGGTGCAGTGTGCCTGTGTAGTTTAGAAATTTAAACAGGCTATTGGTATGGAAACTGATCTGAAATTAATTTAGATGATTTTGTCATCATACATGTTTCTTGACAAGGATCAGACACCCATTAACAGGATTTCAGGTCGATTCATTTTCAAGGACGTTGACTCATTGTCATCCAAAATGTCCTGAAGATATTTTTCAATTTTGGTAATGATGTTGAGGAATGTCCTCTATTCCAATGATGGACGCTCAACTTGGTCATATGGACTCGGCTCTTTGCCAACACCACTATCCAGGACTGTTTGGACAAAACCCTCCCGAAGCCTTACTGTTGAGGCACCACTGTCCATGCTGTGCCTACTGCCTTACAATGAAGAATATGAGGGAGTACAGGCCAAGGCGGATGTCCCTGTGGTATCGGGGCACAGACTATAATCTTTTTCAACTGTCTCTCAGTTTCAGTAGTGTCTGTTTGTGAAAGGTAGGGAAGCTAAAGCACTGTGTAGTGTCTATGATATGCTTTGAAGAACACAATGAAAACACATAAGAACAAGGTTCATGTCAGTAATGGAAAATCGTTATGTTTTCAGACCATTCAAAGCAACGGATCAGTGTATCTACATGTCTACTTTGTGAAAGCTGGAAAGTTGCCCGACCCTGACGAGAAGGGGAAATTCTCCAGGAAAACAACAGTGTACAGATCCAAACGTAGGCATATATATATATGTTTGCAAGATTCATATTAACACCAGCGTTTTCGATACCTGTTGTATACTACATACTGAGAATTATATTTGAGAGCACACGGATCCTTTATTCCATAAACAAATCATCCGCATAAAGTCATGATAATACTTCATAAGTCCTTAAGAGCTCCATTTAAAAAAAGAATCACATGTCCAGAAGCTGAAGATTGCAACATCAACCTGAGGTTCTTCCAGTTGAGTTAGTTTGGAGATTTTGAGATATGTGTGATGTATTTCACTCAGTCCTGTATGTCTTAAAATATTCCTTGCATTCAGTAACCTGCATTTGTATGTTTTGAACACATTCATGTTCAGGCTAAAAAAAATAATAGTCTTGGTTCTCAGGCCCCGCCTGCTTCATCATGAAGTTTGCTGCACTTTTCGTTTTTATTTCATTTAAAAATCAACAACAAAACAATCCTTAAATATCCCAAGCCCAACAGGAGTCAAATACTGTATTCCAGTATTTTACTCATCAAGGAATTCATTTATGTAGGGAGGCCCTTATCCAGGTTCATTATGCACAACTGATTATATGGTTACATAACTGCTTATTTTGTGACATACTAGTTTGAACAACCCCCCTCCAAAAAAAAAGACACAGCCTACTCACACTATATTTTCAAAAGCCATTACCCGAGAACTAATTCTTTTCTTTTTTAAGCCTTATACAAATTAACTATGTACAGATTTTTTTCAATTTTTTTTCAATGTTTCACAGCCAACAATCTCTTTTTCTAGGCCTGAACAAATTCAAGAAGCGTTTTTTCCACAACACTGTTAATCTGCTCACAGGAGAGACAGATGTACATCCTGATCTTATCAAGGTTTGTGGCGGCACTGTGGTGTTTATGAATTGCAACTGATGGGGGATATGTCTTAATGGATTTCTCAATACACACAAGTGCAATTATCGTGATGGGAACAGTTGTTTAGTCATTAATGGGAATTCAGGATAAAAGGATTTAGCAATCAGCTGAAGATATTTTTTATTGATTTTCTAGATTGCTAAATAGGGTGTATGATGTCTCATCATATATGTGGACAGTCTAATTGGATGGTGTAACTTCTATTATGACTGAACTCATATACCTGGTGTTGCTGGAGCATTATCATTATCCAGGGTCACAGGTGACCAATCAGCATGCTCAGTCAAAGATGTTACATCTTGAGGGGCAGTGGGGTAGCCTAATGGTTAAAGTGTTTGGTCATTACTCCAAAGCCCCGGGTTCAAATCCCAAAGTGGGACAACCTGTGAACCTATTTGAAGTGGCGTAAAACCATACTCACTCATATTATGAAAAAATTATCAGAAAAGATATGTCATGGTGATATAATTGGCTCTTTGCCCTCACCAAATCAACCATTTTGAAAATAATTACTGAGCTCTTAACCCATGCTTGTAATATAACCATTGTAACGTCACATCGGAAGCCCTGGGTTCGATTCCACACATTGGTAAAATGTGTGAAGTCCTTTTCTTGTGTCCCCCACTGTGATATTGCTGAAATATTGCTCAAATCAGCATAACCATACTCACTTACTCATTACTAGCCCGAACTTGGCTACTAGCATAATTTTCTGAAGATTTTGATGTTATTATTTGACTATTACTAGCTGAGTTGACTAGGCCAAATAGAAATTTACAGCTCTGGTCTTTGGACTGAAAATCGCTGACAGTACATGAATGTTTGAATCAAAGTTTGGCTTTAATAATGACCATTGGAGTGACAGCACCACCTCATGGGTTCCCTTTAAGTGGTAAACTTATTTCATTTTCATTTATGATGCCACTACTGTGTAACTGAATCAGTCACTCAGCATATTACATGTACTAATAGTACTCTTGGAACAAGACTTGTTGATTATTAACATGGAACAAATCTGATATGTTTTTTGTTTACTGACAGAGAGAGAACTCCTCCTCCTTTGAGGTCCTGTCCCACTGGCATCCCAACATGACCATCAACCTTCTGGATGACTACTCCCCTTGGATTGAAGGCCATGTGCCAGCTCCACTTGATGAATGTGAGTCTCAATAATCATTTCAGGATTTCTATTTAATCTGACCTATTGTTTCTGTATTGGCTGAAAATAGGTAAAAGAAAAACAGGTCATGCTGCATCCAAAACGGTTTTAACTGCAACAGTTTCATTATTGTTCATAGCAGCCCTTCTACCATTTTTAGATAGGTTTCTTGACACTTTTAGTGGTACCTTTGGTGACACTAATCACGATAATGTTCTTGTGAGTTCTGCATCTATATCATCACGATTATGTGGAATCACCATCATATCCCCTTGTTGTTATCTCATGTTTCATCTGGGGGCACGGGTGGCCCAGTCATCTAAGGCGCCGCGATTCGCTGTGCAAAGTTGCATCCCTTTGGCACTCCAAAAACCTATGGTTGTGGGTTCGAATTCCGGTTCACCCCAATTATGTTTCTAGGTTTGTCAGCACCAAACCCGTGGTCGTGGGTTTCACTGAAGTGGTAAACGTCTGAGACCTGTATCACTTCTGGCTTTACTCCCACATTAAGCTGACTTGCCGTGATATGACTGGAATACTGTTAAAAGCGGCGTTAAACCCAACTCACTCACTCACTCCCCTTGTTATCTCATGTTTCATCTTGATGTTTTAGATATTGACTTCATCCCTGGTACTGACAAGTACTTCCCAGTCTTGTATCTGAATGATTACTGGAACCTCAATAGTCACTACATGCCTGTCAATGACACAGTCACGTACGTTCCTTATCTCTTCATTACTCATACACCTTGCATAGTTTTATATTGTTCTTGGTGAGGTAGCCTAGTGGTTAAGGTGTTTGCTTGTCACACCGAAGATCTGGGTTCGATTCCCGACATGGGTACATTGTGTGAAACCCATTTCTGGTGTCCCCCGCTGTGGTGTCCCCATGCTGGAATATTGGCATAAAACCATACTCATTCACTCACCCTGGCCCCAGCCTAATTGTTCCATTTAGTCATCTCCATAATTGGGATGCAATAAAAATCTTTAGGGGCAGTGGGTAGCCTAGTGGTTAAAGCGTTCACTCATCATGCCGAACCCATTTGAGACAGATTCAAATGGAATGACACTTAAAATATATTTGGTCTTTTCCATAATTTGGATTCTGCATCTTACAGGCCTTTAGGGGTAGTGGCCTAGTGGTTAAAGTGTTCTGTCATCATGCGGAACCTATTTGAGACGGATTCAAATGTTATGACACTTAAAATATATTTGGTGTTTTCCATAATTGGGATTCTGCATCTTATAATATAGTTATAGGCCTTTAGGGGTAGTGGCCTAGTAGTTAAAGTGCTCTGTCATCATGCGGAACCCATTTGAGACTGAATCAACTGTCATGAAACTGAAAAGGACAGTCTTAACAAGTTACTATCATGAGTGATAGAAAGTCTGTGCAAAGTTGGAGATGGAGTGATGTGACTAAGCTATGTTGGAGAATGGATCCTGGGAATTTATTTATAGCATGGAGATACGGCAGCAATATTTCTAATGCGATTTAAAATTTGAACTCACACAAAATTATACTGGATGATCGTGATTGCTGCATGAACTGAATAATAGAATTAAAGATTCTTTCATATATGATGATTTTTAAGAATAGTGACGATTGATTTTATTGCGGGTTCTGTCGTTCAATGGAGTGAAAGAAATAATAATCATAGAAAATAAATGTCAAAAGTCTGTGAAAAGATATAAATTTTCTGTTTTAAATGTGGTAGGTTTGAATGTTGCTCTAGTTGAGTGTGTTCTATGCAGAGAGCTGAACTTGACCCTGACCTACAGCCCCATCTCGCTGTTCCGCTGGCAGATCTATGCAGCGCAGGGCATGCGCAACAAGTGGTACAGCTTCATGGGGAGCGACCTGATTGAGGAGAATGATGATGATCAGGATTCACTGAAGGTCAGAATATTGAATACTTTTTCATTTTGCTTCAGATTTAGATAGATTTATGCCAATTCCGTGTAGTCTTCTCACACACCACTAAGTCGAGACAGCAGAACATTGGGCAGGATGTGCAGCATGAGATCAAATAAAAATTTATTACAATTTTGTTTGTTTGTTGCAATATTCCAGCTGCACAACAGTGGCATGTAAATAATCAAGTCTGGACCAGACAGTCCACTGATTGACATCATGAGCATCTATCTACGCAATTGGGATATGATGACATGCATCGACCAAGCAGCAAGCCTGACCATCTGATTCCGTTAGTCGCCTCTTACGACAAGCAAAGTCACCTCTTACGGCAAACATAAGTTGCTGAAGACCTATTCTTTACCTGGGTCTTATTAAGCTTAATAAGAAAGTAATTGTGTTAGCTTATAAGGAAATGTTTGAAGCAACAAACGTTCACATGATAGTTACACTACCTGGTTTGTCATGGAAATATTGTGCCCTTGTAATGTCTACAAACTGAAGCAAGACTTCCTTTGGTTTACAGACAGCTTTCTTGGAGACCAACCCCTACCTCCTTGCGATGACCATAGTGGTGTCACTTCTCCACAGTGTCTTTGAGTTCCTTGCCTTCAAAAATGGTAAGTTCCTGTTTTTTTGTAATCAAAGGGACATAATCCATGTACTGTTTTGAGACCAAATGGTGCCAATGACTGGGATAATTGTTGGAATAAACTCACTCATCACAGCGATAGAAATTAACAGTTTTAGTCCACTAGTCCTTTTAATGATAACAAATATCAAATCCCTTAACAAGTGCAAATTTTTACTAGTCCTTATGATACCTTAACCATTGGGCAGACTGTAGGACTAGTGCCAATTTTCAACGCTGCATCCTAGATAAGCATTCCTGTCCTGATGTTCCAGATATTCAGTTCTGGAAGAGTCGCAAGTCTCTGGAGGGCTTGTCAGTGCGTTCCGTGTTCTTCAATGTGTTCCAGTCCCTGATTGTGTTGCTGTATGTCATGGACAACGAGACCAACACTGTTGTCAGGATCAGTGTGTTCGTTGGACTGTGTATTGAGATTTGGAAGATCCACAAAGTTGTCAATGTCAAGGTATAAACATTATGCTTTCCTGGTTTCCAAGTATGGTTTTACATATTATATTTTATTTTGTGTCGATATAAACATGATAAAGTTCAGTAATTATTAATAATCAATGATGTTGTCCATCTGACACACATTTAGTTTATTCCAGGATAATTCTGAGAGAAAAATTAGAGAGTAGGTCCCCAGTACCCCATCTGTGTTCAGACAGACATTTCTCAGGGTCTGCTCAGGAGGGCAATCAGGAATCGTACTGTATGATTTACTCAAGATCTAAGTGGGGGGCACGGATGGCCCAGTCGTCTAAGGCGCCACGATTCGCTGTGCAAAGTTGCATCCCTTGGGCACGCCAGAAACCTATGATTGTGGGTTCGAATCCCGGTTCGCCCCGATTATGTTTCTACGTTTGTCAGCACCATACCCGTGCTCGTGGGTTTCACTGAAGTGGTAAATGTCTTCAGACATGCATCACTTCGGGCTTTCCTCCGACATTAAGCTGACACGCCGTGATATGACTGGAATACTGTTAAAAGCGGCGTTAAACCCAACTCACTCACTCAAGATATAAGTAACTGATGATCCAGGTTCAATATCTTAAATTACCTTGTATTTGCAGTTTGACAGAGAGAATCTTCTGTTTGGGGTACTTCCTCGGTTGAGCCTGGGAGACAAATCCAGCTACACTGAATCTATGACAAAGAAGTATGATACTGTAAGTAGTCATATCAAGTTGAATAGCCACAATTATTTTGGTGGTGCTGTGGCCTGATTGCCGTAGACTCTGCGCTGTTCCCCTATTGTGTGCCGTGGCCTGATAGCCATAGACAATGTTTTGTTTCCATATTTAAGAAATAAATGATGAGTTTGAGTTGTTTATTTTACAATAAAACAGGGGGCACCGGTGGCCCAGTCGTCTAAGGCGCCGCGATTCGCTGTGCAGAGTTGCGTCCCTTGGGCACGCCAGAAACCTATGATTGTGGGTTCGAATCCCGCCCTCGATTATGTTTCTACGTTTGTCAGCACCATACCCGTGCTCATGGGTTTCACCGAAGTGGTAAACATCTGAGACCTGCATCACTTCGGGCTTTCCTCCCACATTAAGCTGACATGTCGTGATATAACTGGAATACTGTTAAAAGCGGCGTAAAACCCAACTCACTCACTCACTACAATAAAACACTGCAGGGAGAATAAACCGTGATGGGTGCAGGTTTAATCTCCCTGCAGTGTTTTATTGTATGATAAACAACTGCTACTCGTCGTTTATTTCTCACATGAGATATCAACATTATGTACAGCCTCTTTAAGGATGACGATAAACTGTACCAAGCTTTTTAAATATTTACCCATATTTAAATAATGATGACTCCCTCAAAAGAATCCGACCTCGGCAATGTCAGACAAGTCCAATTGAAGCACAGCTTGGTATTTCCCGCATATTCTCACAATCCTCATGTCGCTTACCTGTACCTTTTCTCACAATACTGATTGTCAAATCTCTCCCGCTTTGGGATGCGAACATTCAGTCATCGTGTTTATCTGCATTGCCCAGCTATATCTATGGGGTACATCTCACTAGTAGACACTCCCCTCTCAAAAATAACATTGTCATATATACGTTATCAAGTTGCGAGCGCATGTTCAAATCTCCAGAAATGACGTCATGATAGAACAACGTTGATCATGAAATAAACCAAGCTTCGTTCTTCATTGTTCTTTGCGATTTATTGTGTAGCTATCTTATATTAGGACATGAAGGCTATGATGCTTAATATTTTTCGTCATCCAAATTTTGAATGATGCGGAGGCTAATTATCTGAGCCTTCTAATTCTCAATGATAAGAATATAAGTTTATATGGCAAGTTAATAACTTCAGGCTGTTGAGGATGTTCAGGAGGTTCAACTTGGTGGGGACCTTTGACATGTTGGAGATGCTTCATTTCAATATCTAACAAACAGTTAATGTTCTTGGATCATTCAACTATGTTCCCACTACGTTGACCTTGATATATCTGGGCTTGCCCCAGAGCAAATGGTCAGATATGTTCTTGCTTTTCATAGATTATTTTCTAGCAAGTTCTTACATAATGTTATCTCAGCCATATTTTTCATCAGGGTCTACCTCCCGGTAGTTCAATCATCTCAATGTCATTGACCTTGTGCCACCACTATTAACTGGGATCATGTGTCTCCATATTTGAAACTAACGTTTACCATGACAAGACATAGACAATTATGATTTTGTAATCAATGTAATCTAGATCTTATTGAAGATGAATATCACTTTGATAGGCTGTAAATATGATAATATAAGAAATTTTCATTTAAAATAACCACTTTTATCTGATCCAAATATACACAAATTTGTCTCTCAAATATCTTCTGTTAACATGGGTGTTATACCAAATTTGTCCATTTACATTTATCATGCTATATCAGTGAGAAAGTAAGTTTTTATGTTTATAGAACCACTTCCTAAATGCTTTGTACTATGGGCCTGTGACCTCACAGTTTCTTATGAATAAATTCTCTACAGTTCAAAATGTGAAGAAAAAGGTATTGACAGTCAAACTTTGTCTGTTTGTTTGTAAATAATGCACAGTTATTATTTTACCTTATCCTGACTCATACTATTTGCTTACCTCAACTCATTTCCAAAATGTAGTGGAAACTTCCTAAACTGTGAGGGGCGGTCGGGTAGCCTAGTGGTTAAAGCGTTTGCTCGTCACGCCGAAGACCCGGGTTCGATTCCCGACATGGGTAAAATGTGTGAAGCCCATTCTGGTGTTCCCCTTGGATATTGCTGGAATATTGCTAAAAGCGGCGTAAAACCACACTCACTCCTAAACTGTGTACCCGGAGAACAGAAAAAACTGCTCATCCCAAGACTTTTACTCTAAAAATTACATTTTAAAGTGGCTTCCCAAAATACCAGCACAGATAGTAGTGTGATGGAGTGGAGATGCAAGAATTATACATGTAGATTTTGATGGAATGTGTTGTTTGAAACATGCTTGGACATCTACACCCCCTTGTTTTTAAACAAGAGGGAGAAGGCTGTGATGTTTAATATATTTCGTCATCCAAATTATGAATGATGCGGAACTACATTATCTGAGCCTTTCAATACTTAACAATACAAATACCCCATTAAAACATTTGTTATAATAAGGCAAGTTTGAATCCTCAAGCTGTTGAGGGGTGCACTGGTGGCCCAGTTGTCTAGGGTGCCGCAATTCGCTGTGCTGAGTTGCATCCCTTGGGCACGCCAGAAACCTATGATTGTGGTTTTGAATCCTAGTTTGCCCCGATTATGTTTCTAGGTTTGTCAGCACCATACCAGTGGCGTTAAACACAACTCACTCACTCACTCACTCACTCTCTCTCTCTCTCTCTCTCTCTCTCTCTCTCTCTCTCTCTCTCTCTCTCTCTCTCTCTCTCTCTCTCTCTCTCTCTCTCTTTCTCTCTCTCTCTCTTTGCCCATGGACATGTTGGAGAAGTTGGATATGTTTCCACTGTCTACAAAGTCATTTACTGGCCTTTGATCAGTCAGCTTTGTGCACACTATGTTGACCTGGATGTTTCTGGACATTCACCAGTGCAAATTTTTGGAAATATTCTGGCTTTTCTTTGATTATTTTCAAGCAAGTACTTACATCTTTTTATCTTATCCTTATCCTTTACCTCAATCAATCATCGTATGTCCTTGTACCCCCAATGTTAAAAAAAGGTCATGGGTCTTCATCATTGTGTTCATACATTAAAACTGATAAACAACAGTTACCCTGGTTACTACTGCTACAGATGTGAGGACATAATGATATTGACAATCACAAGTTGCTTAATTTGAAAATATTGCACTTTTTTTAACTGGCTTCCTAAAGTACCTTCCTTATGATTAAAGTAGATTTCTAATGGAAGAATGCCAAAACTCCTTGAAGGAGTCATAGACTGTGGAGAAATCCGACATATAAAGTTTGTTTAAATGTATTGTTTGAAACATGATTTGAATTCTACACCCTCTTGTTTCAAACAAGAAAAAATGAGGCTATGATGTTTAATATTTTTCGTCATCCAAATTATGAATGATGCGGAACTAAATTATCTGAGCCTTCAACATGTCCAATACTTAACAATTTGATTTGATGCAATGTATTATTTGCTCAAACATTAAATTATTGTATTTTATTGACCTGTGAAATCTTTACAGACTGCTGTTTCACTTTGAGCAATCTTATTAATCAATACTTTTTATTTTCGGTTTATGAATTCTACAGACCAGAGCCCAAAGCCAAAGTAAAAAAAGAAAAAAAGTTCAAATTTATTTCTTTTGCTCCACCTTCTGTGTTCTATGGATTAAATTTTAGAGAAACATACAAAATACTTTTGAAATAATAATGAATCACAAATGGACTGTCTCTGGAAACTGCAATTCCCTTATACATGTTATAAGGAGAACAAAACCTTCTCAGAATGTAATCCATATACGTCTAATAAAAACCGGGACATTAATCATGTGTTAGGCAGTAGTAAAGTACCTTTATTTTGTCCACTAAACTGACAGACTTGAACAACTTCATGCCATACAGATTATTTTCAATTGAACTAACCGATGCTCATTACCTGTAATTGGTAAGCAAAAATCTTTAGATCATAAAAGTATAAAAGTGTACCCTTGATTTATTACCTTGACTATGAAATATACCCTCACTGACAGGGCTGGGACAAGTCCAATTTTACTACCTGGGTACCCACACCCCTATAACCCGACCCTACCCAGGTACCCGCTGTTGGTGTCAAGAGATAGGTACACAATGTCTAATTGGGAATAGTTTGACAGTAGGTCATGCATACACTGAAGTTGACTGACGTTTCAGCTTTGTTCAAACATAGTCAGAAGGAACTAGTTCATAGTCATGAAGAAATGCGATCATTAGAGACTTAAAATTGTCGTGTCACCATGTAGTTATATTGTGAATTTTTGTCATGAAACAATATATCACGTGACTAACCACGGGTCCGGGTAGTCCTGTGGGTACCCGGGTCCTACCCGACCCGAGTACCCGAGTTACCCGTCCCAGCCCTAGTCACTGAGTCGCTGACATTGATGTGTGGTGTTGCAGCTGGCCTTCAAGTACCTGTCCTGGCTTCTGTTTCCCCTGCTGGGAGTATATGCTGTCTACTCACTCCTCTACAATGAACACAAGGGATGGTACTCATTTGTCCTGGGCATGATGTATGGTTTCCTCCTTACATTCGGTGAGTATTGTTTGATAATGAATGGGAATGTTGTACATCTGTAGTATATTAGCTGTAACCACCCTCGATCATCCCTTCATGTCATGTCACTGTTCTATCATGATATGGAGCATGGGTGGCCGAGTCATTTAAGGCACCGCAAATTCGCTGTGCTGTTGTGTCCCTTGGGCAAGCCAGAAACCTTTGATCGTGTTTTCGAATCTCGGTGAGCCCCGATTATGTTTCTAGGTTTGACAGCACCATACCTATGCTCATGGGTTTCACCAAAGTGGTAAAGATCTAAGACCTGCATCACTTTGGGCTTGGCTCCCACATCAAGCTGACACACCCACAATCAATCCCAAAATCATAGGTTTCTGGCGTGCCCAAGGGATGCAACTCTGCACAGCGGATCGCTGACTGGGCCACCCGTGCCCCCCACCAGTACAAGACTCGACTGTTGTGTGCTGTCTTTAATACAGCGATCTGTCTTGTAGCAAAAGGACTTACTATCCTCTGTGTTGGTACTCTGCAAGCCCCTTTGACAACTTTGTTCCCCTCCCTGTGTCATAGCTGCCACCAGTAGGCAAGCGGCCATGATAAGAATCTTGAGAATTTTCCCTTGTAACTGAAATGTTGGGACATTTATGTTTTTGTGAACATCATTATAGTGAAATGAGAAAAGGTTTTTGGATAAAAATGACATGACAATTTTCTGATTCAGTTAAATATATCAGGGACTTGCTTGGGTGAGGCCACAAGTTTGAATGTTGACTTATGCCAAATTCACTTTCTGAGATGGAGGTAGTGACATCATGAGGATGGGCTGTAACAACATGGCTGTGCTAGTAGGGTGGCAGAGATATATTTGGAATTTTTATTTTTTTGTTTTCATGAAAAGTTGGACTTATACCAAAAATGAGGGTAATGCTCGTTTGTGGAGCAGGACTTCAAAACTGTTGAATATTTCTTGTTGAAAATTGCTATACAGATCAGTCTAGTGGTGAAGTGGTGCATTTTGATTTAAAAAAAAAATAAACAACATTTTTGTTTTCTTCACTGAAGGTATCCAATGGCAATAAGCCAAAAGGGGAGTATAAATAGCCATAGTCCATTTCAGAAATGCACCAGATCAGGGGGTGATATGTCATCTCCTGATGACTCTAGTTCAATTCATTTTCATCCTGAAATGCTTACTTACTTACTTATATTAGGAGATTTTACGTGCGCTTTCCGACTGGAGCGTATTTCGCACACGGGCCCGGCCGGGCCATTTAGTGGTATAAAAGTGGTAGCGAGAGGAGTGCAACCAAGGAGGGGGGTTTAGTGGTTGCTTATATAAAGTTTTGAAATTTTGAGATTTGGAATACATGCCTTGGGGGAGTGGTTGGGACTAAGGGAGTGTGTGGGGGTGAGTTGATGTTTTTTGGATGTTTAGTGTTGGTGGTTTAGTGAAGTTTTAAATACGGTTAATTAGTTCTGTTTTGGTTAGGTAAATGCCTAGGGCTTTGAAGTTTTCTATTTTATTTTGGGGGTTAAGGATTGCTTCTAAGGTAAGAGCGTTATTTGGATTTAGGTTGGTTTGTAATGTTGTACGTTGTGTGAGGTAGTGGGTGCAATGTAGTAGTACGTGGTCTATTGTTTCTGGGTGAGTGCAGTGTGGGCACTTCCCGTTTGCGTGTTTTTTTAGTTTTAGAAGGTGGTTATTTAGTTTGGTGTGTCCTGTTTGGAGTTTGGTGATTATTCTATCGATTTTTTTGGAGGGATGGAGGATTTTTGGTTTGGTGAGGGGTTTTTTGAGGGTTTTTAGGATTTGGGTTTTTGTGTTTTGATAGAGGTTATGCCATTTTTGGGTGATTTTACGTTTGTTTATACTTTTGATTTCTGCTTTAGATATTGGTAGCTTAAGGCTTATGTCTGGTATTTTTAGGGATTGTTTTGCGGCTCTGTCTGCGTTTTCATTCCCGTAAATTCCTACGTGAGCTGGTATCCAGATAAGTTGTATGTTTTTGCCTGCCTCTGTTAGTTTGTTTACGCTTTTGAGAATTTGGTTTATTAATTTGGGGCGGTTTTTGGTGTTTTTGTTTTGGAGGGCCTGAAGTCCGCTTAGTGAGTCTGAGAGTATTAAGATTTTTTTTTGGTTTTTGGTGTGATGGCTGTGGAGCGCCGTGGCGATACCCATGAGCTCTGCGGTGAATATAGATTGGTTGTTTGGGAGTCGGAAGGATTGAGTATTTTTGACTGGTTGGGCTATATGGACTCCGAAACCTGTGTGATTTGTGATCGGATCAGCGGATCCGTCTGTGTATATGTGACACCAATTTGGCCATTTTTGATGGATGTAAGCTAGTGATGTGCTTTTAGCTAGGTTTGGGTCGGTTTGTTTGTTTATTGTGTTGGCTAGGGATGTGTCTATTTTGGGGATTTTAAGTTTTGGGGTGAATACGTTTGATTGTTTACAGTTTTGTTGTTGGTTTCCTATTTGGTGTTCGTTATGGTAGTTTATTATTCGTTGGGATATTGGGGTGAGTAGAGGGTGTTTTCTAGTTAGTGCCTGGTTTTGGGGACGTATGTTTTGGTTTAGCATGTTTTGGAGAAGGGGGTTTGATTGAGATGCTGCCCAGAAGTTTAGTGTTAAGTGCTTGTCTACGTAAATTTAGTGGCATTTCTCCTGTAAGGGCCTGAAGTGATGTGAGGGAGGTGCCATGTTGAGTACGTGTTACTAGTTTGAGGGCTTGATATTGTATTGAATCTAGTTTTTTGGTTAGGGTTTCGTTTAGGGTATCGTATATGGCACAGCCGTAGTCTAGTTTAGATCTGATTAGGGATGTGTAGAGGCTGAGGAGGGTATCTTTAGAGGCTCCCCAGTTGGAGCCGGTTAGGCATCTTAGTGTGTTTAGATCTTTGCTACATCTGGTGGTTAGGTTTTGGACGTGAGCATCCCAGGAGAGATGCTCGTCGAAGATTAGACCTAGGAATTTAGTTTGCTTTTGAAATATGATTGGTTTATTGTTTAGTTTGAGGAGAGGGGAGGCCCGTCTCATATTTTTGTGTTTGAATACTATTCCTGTCGTTTTTTCGGAGTTTAGGGAGAAGCCCCATTTGTCTGCCCAGTTTTGTATTTTGTTTAGGGATTTTTGTAGTAAGTCCTGAGATGTTAAGATACTTTTGGAGCGGATCCATAGGGCTCCGTCATCCGCAAATTTTGAGGTGTTTATTTTGGGGGATAAGCCATCAAATAGGTCGTTTATCATTATGTTAAAAAGTGTGGGGCTAAGAATGCTGCCTTGAGGGGTGCCGTTTTCCAGGGGACACTGCTCTGATAAGGCCTGGTCTATACCCACTGTAATTTTGCGGTTTTGGAGGAAGCTTTGGATGTAGTTTACGATTTGACCTTTAAGTCCTATTTTTTTAAGTTTTTGGATTAATCCGTTATGCCATACCATATCAAAGGCTTTAGAGAAGTCCAGAAAGATGCCTGTTGTGTATTGTTTGTTTAGTTGACCGGTTTTAATATCCTGTTCGAGACGAGCGAGGTTATCTAGGGTGGAGCGGCCAGGAGTGAAACCGCTTTGATCTGAGTTTATTATGTTATTTTGAGATAGATAGTGTTGAAGTCTATTTTTGGCCATGGATTCCATTACTTTGCAAAGGTTGGAAGTAAGAGAGATTGGTCTATAAGAGTTAGCTTGGTTGGTTGGTTTACCGGGTTTGGGAATAGGTATGATTAGCGCCTCTTTCCAGGGGGTTGGTACATGGCCTTTTATGTAGATTAGGTTATATAGTTTGAGTAGTGTCTGGAGTAATTTAGGGGGGAGTTTTTTTAATATTTGGTAGGAGGTTAGGTCTAGTCCTGGGGCTGTTCCCTTTTTCCTATTTTGGAGTACATAATTGAGTTCTTCTATTGTGTACGGCTGATTTATTTCTAGGGCGTCATTATTTGGGTCTTGGCTAGGTTTGGTTTCTGTTTTAAGTTTTAGTTGGAATTTGTCACTGAAATTGTTATTACTGCTTGTGGCCGAAAAGTGGTTTGCTAGGTTGTCTGCTTTTTCGCTAGGGGTTGTTGAGTTATTTATGTTAGGTGTCTTTTGGTGACGTTTTAGGCCTCTAACGGCGTGGATTTTACGCCAGACCGTTCTGGCGTCTGTACGGTTGTTTAATCCCTCACAGAATTTTTTCCAGTCTCTAGTTTTTGCTATTTTAACTAGGTTTTGTACCTGGTGGTTTAGTTGGTGAGCTACTGGTATGTGGTTATGGTCGCGTTTGGCTTTGTTGAAGGCTGTTTTACGTTTTTGTCTAGTTAGTTCTATTTCCTCGTTCCACCAGGGTACAGAGGGCCTACCCGATTTATTGGGTTTTTTAAAGGGGATTGCGCTTTTGGCTGCGTTTATTATGAAGTCCGTTAGGTTTTGGCAATATATTTCTGGGTCACTATTTTCTAGTTCTACTAGGTTAGCTTGGTTGCATATGTCTTGGAATTTATCCCAGTTAGCCTGGTTGTAGTTAAATTTAGGTTCTGAACTTTTGGATTGATTTGGGACGTTAGTGTTTCCTATGGTTATGTTTATGGGGAAGTGATCACTTCCTAGGGGGGCGTCGTGAACTTCCCATTGGGTACTTTGAGCTAAGTCTGCTGTACATATGGTTAGGTCGATAGCCGACATGTTTTTATTGTTTTTGTCGTATCTGGTAGGTTGGTTGTTATTTAGTAGTACTAAATTATTTGTTTCTATCCATTCTGATATTAGTTTGCCGTGATTATCTAGTTTATCTCCCGTGCCCCAGGAAGGGTGGTGGGCGTTGAAGTCTCCTAGAAAGATGGTAGATTTGTTGCCTATCTTTGTGAGTATGTTTAGATCCTCCGGTTGGATTTTCTGTTGTTGCCAGTGGTAGATGTTTATGATGTTTATTTTTTGGTTTTTAAGGGTGATTTGGATACCATTGGCTTCTAGGTTTGGGGTGTTTATTTTGATTTCCTCGTAGCTTATGTCTTCTCTAATTAGTATTAGTAGGCCACCTGATGCTCTTATTATTTTGGTTTTAGGTCGATCATGTCTGACTATGTTGTAGTTTGGTAGGTGAAATTTGGATTTATTGGAGAATTTAGTTTCCTGGATGCACGCTATGTGTGGTCCTTGTTTTAGTTTAAATCTAGCTTTTAATTCGTGGCTGTGGGAGTTAAGCCCGGCCGCATTCCACTGAAAGATATTTAGGCCTGAAATGTTCAACTTGCAATCAGTTATAAACAGTCGCTATATCCTGCCATCGGTCACCCAACCCTGTATATCTGTATGGGCAGTGTGATGCCTTGGTCGCTGTGACCCAGACAGGATGATGAAGGCCTACAGCCCATCCCTCGGCACTTGTGACAGCTGCCCTGGGCTGGTTGACTTATATCATATAAGGACCAGTTGACCGAATTCTGTAGTTACTTTTACCTCATGACCTTTGGGAAAGGGTTTCAACAAAACATGCTATTCTGGGATGGAGTAGGAGTCATGAATATACGGAGCAAGTTGTACTCAACATTATGTGCCTAAAACATGTATTGAAATGTTTTTGCAGTAACAGATACACAGTAAGCATTAATTCAGATCACCTCAGTGAGCAGTCTCACTTTGGAGAGTCTAGCTTGTTATAAACATGAAACTTAAGACATCTATCTTGTTATGAGGCCAGTTAAGTGAGCAGTCTCTCCGTAAATGTCTAGTTTTATAACATTGTAATGAAATACAGGGATGTTAGTAGTGTTAAGAAGAGAGGTAACAGACTGCCATAACATGCCTTTCAGAAGTCACAGATGACTTGGCATCATGTTAGCTCAATCTCACAAAAATCTGTTCTTTTACTTTGATATGATACCTCTCTGATACAATCTGAGGACACTTCCATCATGTCTATTTGAGATCTTTCTCATCAGCCTTGCACCGTCCAGGGGTCCATAATCTCGGTACGAGTGAGTGAATCATTCAAACCACCAAATCTGGTTTCTGTATCCTGAAAACAAACTGCAACGACAAGTTCCAAAAGTAGAAATCAGTACCGTTATGTTGTTTATTATCCCCCGCCGCGCGAAAGCGCGAAGCGGGGGATATAGTATTCACGACCGTCCGTACGTCCGTCCGTCCCTCCGTCCGTCCGTCCGTACGTCCCACCTGTTTGTTGCCGCGATATCTCAAGAACTAAACACTGGATTGTCTTCATATTTGGAACTATGGTGTATATACAGACTCCGCAGACACCAGTCGGTTTTGGTGACCTTGACCCCATTTTCAAGGTCACAGCAGGCATATCTGCTTTTGGAGTTGGAAAACGGTGTTGCCGCGATATCTCAAGAACTAAACACTGGATTGTCTTCATATTTGGATCTATGGTGTATATACAGACTCCGCAGACACCAGTCGGTTTTGGTGACCTTGATCCCATTTTCAAGGTCACAGCAGACAAATCTGCTTTTAGAGTTGGAAAACGGTGTTGCCGCGATATCTCAAGAACTAAACACTGGATTGTCTTCATATTTGGAACTATGGTGTATATACAGACTCCGCAGACACCAGTCGGTTTTGGTGACCTTGACCCCATTTTCAAGGTCACAGCAGACAAATCTGCTTTTAGAGTTGGAAAACGGTGTTGCCGCGATATCTCAAGAACTAAACACTGGATTGTCTTCATATTTGGAACTATGGTGTATATACAGACACCGCAGACACCAGTTGGTTTTGGTGACCTTGATCCCATTTTAAAGGTCACAGCAGGCAAATCTGCTTTTGGAGTTGGAAAACGGTGTTGCCGCGATATCTCAAGAACTAAACACTGGATTGTCTTCATATTTGGAACTATGGTGTATATACAGACACCGCAGACACCAGTCGGTTTTGGTGACCTTGACCCCATTGTCAAGGTCACAGCAGGCAAATCTGCTTTTGGAGTTGGAAAACGGTGTTGCCGCGATATCTCAAGAACTAATCGCTGGATTGTCTTCATATTTGGAACTATAGTGTATATACAGACACCGCATACACCTGTCAGATTTGGTGACCTTGACCCCATTGTCAAGGTCACAGCAGGCAAATCTGTTTTTGGAGTTGGAAAACGGTGTTGCCACAATATCTCAAGAACTAATCGCTGGATTGTCTTCATATTTGGTAGTATGGTGTACAGGCGGGGGATATTTCGTCACTCTGTGACAAATACTTGTATTTTCTACATCCTGTTGTTTCTGAGCAAAATATTTGTACAAATCAAAATGGTCGGATGGTCGGGTAGCCTAGTGGTTAAAGACCCGGAAGAAGATTCCCGACATGGGCACAATGTATGAAGCCCATTTCTGGTATCCTCTACCGTGATATTGCTGGAATATTGCTAAAAGCGGCGTAAAACCATACTCACTCACTCACTCAATTAAGGGGTATCGTATCAGAGTAAAAAGATAAGATTTTAATTAGTTTCAGAAAGTGTGATTGTGATGTTCGTGTTGTGTGTTGTCTTCAGGGTTCATCATGATGACTCCCCAGCTCTTCATCAACTACAAGCTGAAGTCTGTGGCTCATCTACCATGGAGGATGCTGACGTACAAAGCCCTCAACACATTCATTGATGATATATTTGCATTTGTCATTAAGATGCCAACGTTATATCGTTTAGGATGTTTACGTGATGGTAAGTCTCAATGCTTCATATTGAACATGTTGAAAGTGATTTGTTAGCTGCGTTGAATTGTAATTAAAGACTTTTGGTTTAGTATCTTCACTTGCATTGTCAATACTTCAGTAGCTGGAATATTGCTGAGCAACACTCACATGAACAAGACTTCACCGTTCTGTATACACTACCTTCCTCCGTCACCCATGAGACCCGTGAAGATTCCGGGGTAGAATAGGTCTTCAGCAACCCATGCTTGCTGTAAAAGGTGACTATGCTTGTCGTAAAAGGCGACTAACGGGATCGGGTGGTCAGGCTCGCTGACTTGGTTGATGCATGCCATCGATCCCAATTGCATGGATCGATGCTCATGTTGTCAATCACTGGATTGTCTGGTCCAGACTCGATTATTTACAGACCGCCGTCATATAGCTGGAATATTGCTGAGTGTGGCGTTAAACAACAAACCAACCAACCATCACCCATGAATACTTCTGGCAGCTTGGAGAGGGAAACCAGCTCTGATTTCATCACACAAATGTCAATGATACTTGTTTGACATCCTGTGCCTCATGTGCCCTAGCCTTGTCCTATCTGCTCAACTTATTGCTTCAGTGTCAGGCACAAAGTATGTTTATTTGACATCCGAGTGTTACACATGGCCTCATTTTATTGTTGACTTAATGAGGCAAGAGAGTTTACTGACTATAGATGTCCAGTTTCCATCTTTACTGAACTAGGCTTGAATTTTATGGCTCGACCTTTGACTTCCGAGAGTTACACATGGCCTCATTTCATTGTCATCTTAATGAGGCAAGAGAGTTTACTGACTATAGATGTCCAGATTCCACTTTTGCTGAACTAGGCTGGAATTTCATGGCTTGTTCTTCGTGTCACCAGTTGATATGAAGAGTTATGTCCCTTCTGTGTTTCTCCTATTGACTAATCAGAATCCACTTCTCATATCACTTGAATTTGTTGATAATCAAGATCTGTATTGTAATAAATCTCCGTCATTGAGTAGTTTTAACATAGATTATGTTTTTGACAAATGAATTGGATTATCAAAGTATGTTGGCTCATGAGACATTCTGAACGATTGAAATGGAAAATGGCCAATGAGCATCCTGTTGTGGATGTCCAGTTTCAGTGAATTACACTAAGTTTGCTAAAACTGAATCATTACCTACTCCGTTTGATGATTAATTTCAACTCTCATGATTTGTCTTTTCTTTTCAGATGTGATATTTTTCATATATGTCTATCAGCGTTACATATATAAGATTGATCCAAAGAGAGTCAATGAGTATGGAACAAGTCAGGATATGTTTGATGAAAATGCAGAGGTCAAAACTGAAGATCAAGCAGCGATTAAAGCAGGGTCTGCAACAGAAGGTGAGACCCCAGCCATAGAGAAGCCAGCAACGGACTCCACAGCAACAGAGAACCCTGCAACAGACTCCACAGCAACGGACTCCATAGCAACGGACTCCACAGCAACAGAGCCTAAGCCAGCTGAGGAGAAGAAGAATGACTAGGAGTAGATGGAGATCCGTTGTGGAAGCCAGAGCTCTGATGAATGTGTGTGAGAGGGTAGATGAGAGGAATGCTAGTGTTTGGAGAATGGCAGGTATTTAACTCTGAGCCAAAACTTGAAAGATATATTGCTCCTCGGTGGTGTGTTATGAAGTCTTTTTGTATTGTTTTCTCACAGGAACTGAACAGCATAATTGTTTGAAATCCAATGATTTGTTTTCACAAGTGTTGGCCACAACTCTATTGGAATGCCTGATGGTTCTCTATGGACCTAACCCCCTTTAATGTTTAGGTGGAATTTATTTTGACCAGCTTTATTTTAGAACAATTATATTGTGCAATAGAATTTTATTTTAAGAGTGTGAATAAGAGGTCTGACAGAAAACCTAGATAGTTGGCAGCCTAAAATAGCAGTGTTGGAATTTACAGGGACCCCTCCCCCAAATCTCAAACTTTTAACTCTTAAGATTGTCCACAAAACCTGTAATATATAGGACATGACAGGTGCCCTTTTGAAATGTTCTGCATTGAAGGTCAAATTGTTTGACAACTATTCAGACCACCTATACTCAGATGTTGCTTTTAGAAATAAAGACTGGGTAATAGGCATTCACTTCATGTATGGAATCGGATGCATTTTTAATTGGCTTATAAGACAGGACTTTATAGAACTCATATTATCTGCCCTGTGTTATGTAACATGCTGTGAAAGTCACCAATATGGCCAGTCTTAGCATATGCTTCCTGAGATCATTGAGGAGAAATACATCGGTCACCGAACATTCAATATTATGTGATCAAAATGTGTAGTGCCCATACCACCATACTGTCATGTCTGTTTCACCGATGTTGAGATTCATTGTGTTTATATTGTGTTGTCTGTCAAGTTTTGTAATCAGAGATGTTGCTGTGCGGACAAGTAGTTGGGTACTGGAAAATAATTTATTTGCATTGTTATAAACGGAATGTTTATTGTGTAAAGAGAAGTTGATTTAAAAGACACTTGATTGTTTGTAATTTCCACTTAACATATACATCTTGTGAGATTTGTGTTTCCCAGTGTTAGGATTTATGGAGTTTTATTGTCTAATAGGGAAGCTCAGATTTAATGTCATCAGTGTCTTTTAAAATCCCATATTTCACTCTGATATGATACCTTTCTGTGCGAACATCTTAGTACACAAGAGTCACATCAGGTGAGCACTGAGCAAACTTTGACCAATCCAGTTGTATGAAGGATGAGTGGGTTCTTGAGCCAATCAGATGACAGCTTTCTGAAGCGATTTGGCTTCATTTCTTTTCTACCTTATTAAGGAAATTTTAAATCTATGCAAAAGAAAACCTCCACATAACACAACTATACCCTCGATTGTACACCCTTTTAGATGTAGCTTATACCTTGATGCATTCAATATCCACAATATTGTGGCGTATTATTGTATATTTTGAAATGAGATATCCCTGATGATATTTATTTTCGAGATACAGAAATCAGATATGCTTGTCTGACTGTTTCACTTACCTGTACTGAAAATTTGGAAGTCTTGATGCTGATTAGAAATTTACCCTGATGTGACCTCCTATGGAGGCATCCTCCAAGTCCCCACATCGTGAGGGGCGGTGGGGTGGCCCAGTGGTTAAAGTGTTCACTCCTCACCTTGAAGACCCGGGTTCGAATCCCCACATGGGTAAAATGTGTGAAGCCTATTTCTGGTGTCCACTGCCGTGATATTAATGGAATATAGCTAAAAGTGGCGTAATACCATACTCACTCACTCCCTCACTCACTCACTCACTCACTCACTCACTCACAGAGAGGCATTGTATTTTAGTAAACAAAATGAATTGAAGAGATTGGCAAAGTCATTGTCCTTGTACATGGTAAAGTATTTCTTGGTGGTATTACACTACTGCAGGATAACAATTATTGTTTTAATGAAACATTTGCACAAGTCATTATTTCAAATAGTATTGATACATGTAATAATAGATCTCATTACTGCAGATAAATCATTGTCATGTTGAAATAACTATTTGTGAGTTTAGAGTTTGGCTAGATACATGAAGGAAACTGTAACATTGTTGACCTGTACACGTGGCTGTGATCACTTCAAGCATCCATGATAACAGAAGTGCCATCACCCCAGGAAACCTTACATATCCATTTTATGTTTTCTTGTAAAAACAAATTTTATTTATCGTTTTATCTAGTTTTTCAAACTTTGATATGGAACAAACACTTCTCTTTCACTTTTATACAGCTTGTCATCTATTTCACATACATGTTTTTTCATATTGCATTCATTTGTTTTAATCGTACATGAGTTTATGTTTTTTGTCAAAATGTTCATATTGTTATCACCTTCAGGAGATAGCAGTTCTAACCAAAAAAAAAAGTTTGTTCCGGGGAAACAGGATTGTAAGCATTTTATTGCTGAAAATGGCCATTTTAGATTTTTGGGATTGAGGGTTTTCACTTCACGCCTGTAAGCCTTTCACTTTTTTATCCTCTTTCGCGCAGTCTACTGGCCCCAATTTGGGTCTTAAAATAATTTTTAGTGCTTTTATATGTCATCATATGAACTATTATCAACTGAGCTTACCAAACTGACTTTTTCTAAACTCTGGCTTTGGACTCGTGGCTAAAGTCACAAACTGTTCTCATAAGAAACAAATGGATGAAAATTGTCAGATATAGTTTAAGTCTGTCGATGCTTTTCCAGACTACTGCATTTAAAATGTTTCCTGTTCATATCAAATGAAATCGAGCTTGCCCAATGCCTTCAAGATGTAAGGAATGTCGGTGAATTCATAACCATACTAATTCGTAGCCATGAAGAATTCGTAGACACTTCCAATCTTAGACAAAATTCACGGTAATCTCATAGACAAAACAAATCACTTGGGAAGTACATGATGCATTTTAATACAAACAGCTGTCCCCTGAATATCTATTGGTTAATGCCCCATAGATACAACTTACAACTTGTGTCCATGCAGAAGTATTCAGCGGGTCAGCAAAACTCCTCATGGTCAGGTTCAGCTACATTAATTCATCAAGACGTTCCGAAGTCCTTTCTTTTGGAATCAATAACTGATCAATCAGTTACGAAGGGTTTAGTCATCTTGCTGTATTAAAACAAAGATAACATGATGCATTTATCAGTCTTGGAAGTTAATGGACTACTCATTGTGTAGATGGATTAATAGGACAAACCCTAATATAACTGATATTCTTTTCAAATCGGCATTGATCCTAACTCAGTCACCCTTTATTAGAAGACCTCAAATTTTAACTTACTTTCATGATTAGAGCGTTTCAATTTTTAAGGAAAGACAATTTAAATAAATATGTGAGCGAGTTAAAATTTAGCATTCTAAGTGACACAGGATTGTTTTCAGTGATTTTCACGGAGAATGAATGTTATCAGTGAAATTGTTATGATACATGTCATGTGAAGAAGATGTACTGAATAGTTGTACCCCAAATTGTTCTACCAACCACCAAGCCTCTGAGTGTAGGGGGGCACGGGTGGCCCAGTCGTCTAAGGCGCCGTAATTCGCTGTGCAGAGTTGCGTCCCTTGGGCACGCCAGAAACCTATGATTGTAGGTTTGAATCCCCGTTTGCCCCAATTATGTTTCTAGGTTTGTCAGCACCATACCCGTGCTCGTGGGTTTCACCGAAGTGGTAAACGTCTGAGACCTGCATCACTTCGGGGTTTCCTCCCACATTAAGCTGACACGCCGCGATATAACTGGAATACTGTTAAAAGCGGCGTTAAACCCAACTCACTCACTCACTCTGAGTGTAGGATTTTATCTCTGCTCCACGATATGTTCAGTTCCTTTCCCCTCACCAACATTGATGGGGATCCTCGGGTTCACAGGCCAAGAAAAGCTCAGTGTTCCCCATGCTGCAATAATACACCATGGGCCACTGAACTGTTGTTTCAAAGTCTGTACCATGTAAACTCTAACAGTGATACCTACATCAAGGTGATGAAAGACTTGATTCTGTCCGTTCATTGCATGGGAAGGACATATACTACTCCAATTTTGATAGGGATATCTATCTTTCCATGATACACAAAAGTGATTCTCATAATATGTCAAGTGTATATGTAAATAGAACGACATATCTGATGATCCCTCTGAAACATGGAGTAGTATGTGTATATTTTATCTGAAAGCTGTTAGCCTACTTGTCAATCATTAGAAGATGTTAATGTTATATCGGAGTAATATAATGACTAGCAGATTATTGTTTTCAATTGCCCAGACATGCAGAGAGATGTATCATGTATTAGAACTGTTTCGTAAGCAGATTGTCATGTAGGAATTGAAAAGGTGTGTAAATTGTAGCGTGTAGCATTACTTGTGATATTGCATGTTATCATCATTGTTGAAGAGTCAAATGAAGTGATCCTGCTGCCTCGAGTGTTGTGTTATTTGGTGTGTTTGTTATGGAGGTCGAGAATCGCACTCGAGGAAACATGGATTGGATTTCCCAACAAGAGAGTCATTTGAAAAACAGAATGCAAGCTTGTGGTTGATGAAAAAAAAGGTTCACTGAGAGTTGACTTCAGTATTTTGGTGTTTATTGAGTTATGACATAAGGGACCGATAATTTGTTCAGGGGTGAGTGGGGTTTTTCATGCACTAATGTACTAAAAAGAATGACCTAATGCTTGTCATACTTTTGAATGACCCTCCCTGAAAAGCATTTTATATCTTATTATGAAAATCAATTTTTGTCATGAACCTCCCCCAATATGTGTTTGTTTTATGACCCTCCCGATTCCCTTTGACCCGCCCACCCTGTAAAACCAATGTACAAACTGTCAATCAGGTGTAACAGATTTAAGCAAAGTGTGCACACTTTACTCCATAAACACAAAATAATATTGAAGTCAATTCCTATAAATAAAAATGTCAACCATAACTCCATAGATTGCTTACATCATTAACACACACACAAAAAATGTTAATATTGGGGGCATTGTTCAGCACAATGCAACAAACATCCAGCCAGAAACTGTTATGCGTACAATGAGTTCAACTAGGAGACCAAATTGTGTAACCAGCTCCAGCAGGATCTGTGGTTCAAGCCTCAGCGACGTCATACCGAAAGACATTAAAAAGATGGTACTTGTTGTTACCCTGCTTGGCTGTATACTGTGTCATTAGTCGGGTATCCCAAGTTAAAGTGCACCAAGGAATCTCAGTGGGTTAGCACCATAAAATCGGCAGTAGGCAGGATTAGAACAAGCAGCAACGATCACAACACAAGCAGCTACACACACAATAGGGTCTAAACGGACTGGCGTAACTCACACAGAGTACAACTGCATTTGTTCTATCACTGTTTGACCACCAAATCAACATGAGGCAAAATGTGTGCACGCCCGCATGAATGCACGCACGTTTGCTCGCGCCGACTCATGCGCGCGAATCAATTTGGGTTCCAACTTCAGCTGATACACTATACTGAACTATTGTTCAAAGCTGCATCAAACCACAATTCACTCCTCAAGCAAAAAGAGACACTAATGATGGATGATGATGTTAGTGTGTCGGGTTAATGTGGGAGGAATGCTCGATATGATGCAGATTTCAAGACGTGTACCAAGTGTGAAACCCATGGTTGTGGTGCTGACAAACCTAGAAATAATCGGTGCAAACCGGAATCCGAAATCAGAAGCATAGGTTTCTAGTATGCCCAAGATGCACAGCAAATTGCTGTACTTTAGACAACTGGGCCACCCGTGCCCCTAAAAATTACACAAAAACATTGCTATGAAAAAGACATTTATTTCTTTGACTTGATCTTTTTCAACCTGATCCAGTGAGGTTGAACAATGCTGTGTGACTTGGTGATGACTTCTGTGTTCATGTAAGGCCACAGCACTTCCGGGAGACTGACAGACCCATCCTGGCAACAAACATATCTCAAACTACTGAAACATGAGTAAAGACATCATAAAAAGGAAATATCCACAAACATTAATATGTCACTGAATTTACAGATGGGATCTTGTATGAATACAGCTTTTCGGAAAAGAGGAGTGCACTAAGCAGAACATGCAAGATGCATGCATGTAATTTGCCACACAAATTGTGTTCTGTAATGTGTATACATTTTTGCAATATCTCAAAAAAGGGGCACATTTCACCCATGCAACCCGCTCTGGATCCATGTATCACTTTTATCAACCCCTTATCTAGAACCATACAGATGTCCCTACCTTGTCCTGGTTGTGGGAAATCGTTATTTCACAAGTGTTTCATATTACTTGTATCAACCCCATATGTTGACCCACACAGATGCTGGAGACAGCTATGTCCCTACCTTGTTCTGACTGTGGGAATCGTTATTTCATAAGTGTTTCATATTACTTGTATCAACCCCTTATGTTGACCCACACAGATGCTGGAGACAGCTATGTTCCTACCTTGTTCTGGCTGTGGGAATCGTTATTTCATAAGTGTTTCATATTACTTGAATCAACCCCTTGTCTTGATCCACACAGATGCTGGAGACATATAGAATACTAAACAAGCTCCCGTGTAATACCAATTTTATGAAACGAGTGAATAGTTCTAGTATCTGACTTGCCATTTATAACGTTTTTAGAATTATACTGTTGAGTATGAATAGGCTGACACCTACACGATCCACGGCATAGTCCAATTGAATTTAACAGAATAATACTTCAAACACATCAAAAGTTGAAACGTATGAATTTAATACCATACAACGGTCCACCTTTAGAATTCACAAAATTATCGTAGGGCTAAGACTATCGCAACTCACATACTTTAACTTAGACTAACGACTGTCGTTGCGCTACAATACGATCGCCTTGTGGAACGGGCCTTGCACCTCAAAGTTTACAAAAACGTCACAATACCCGATGACGTAATTTGTGGAATTTTGTTGCAAGATCCATCGGCGAAACAATGCCATGTGACGTCAGGTCATCGAGTGTGCATAAGCTCCTCTCCGTGATCTATCAACTCCACACGCAATGTCGTTGAATAAGCCAAGGGATGTCGAGAGCTTTCAATATTTGTTCGTGAAACGTGTTCCGAGAGTACATAAGCACGCGTTTTGGTCTTACACAATGTGTAATACAGCTGTATGTTTATTAAATGGGTGATCTCTTCACGGGCAAGTAATAAAGCTATGTCCCTACCTTGTCCTGGTTGTGGGAAATCGTTATTTCACAAGTGTTTCATATAACTTGTATCAACCCCTAATGTTGACCCATACAGATGCTGCAGACAGCTATGTCCCTACCTGGTTCTGGCTGTTCTCCATGATGGCCATGATCATCCGGGGAACAGCGCAGGCCGTTCCGTTCACCTACACACAGAGGAGGTGTTCCATGTACAGACTGACACATCTCACCCTCAATTACCTTGTCATGCTGTTTTGAAAACTGACTTTGCACAGGATATTTCACTCATATAATGATTTGATTGGATTGCTATTTTAAGTGTCATGCCTTTCAAAGGAGGCAAATGCTTCTAAGATATCAACATGGCATGGAGATATTCACTGGATAATTGAGGATAACTCATCTGAGGCACCATAACTATCAGTTTGTTTTGTTTTTAATCATAGGACTGAGTGTCGGTATGGTTTTATCCCACTTTTAGCAATATTCCAGCAATATCATGGCGGGGAACACCAAAGATGGGCTTCACAATATTGTACCCATGTTGGGAATCAAACCCGGGTCTTCGACATGATGACTGAACGCTTTAACAACTAGACTACCCCACTGCCCCTTTAACGATATGATGTTCACCTGAACTTTGCTATTTGCAACATGATGAATAGTAACTTTAAACTGATTTGCTTTGTACACTGTTTATTGTTTATATTTTCGCCTTTGTCATTTACATTTCATTGTTTTTACATTAATTCTATATCAGAATAATGGAGGATATGTTTACAGGTTGATAAGCATGATAAATAAAGAAATTCAGTCTGGAAAAGTGACAAAGGTGCCTATAAACAGTTTAATCAGACAGAGTTCGGCATGGTCTGAGCTGCTCACTGTGTGGACGTGTTTGAGATGGCCGTCCTGCCCTCTGTACTTGATGTGGAGACGACGGCTCTGGTAGTCTGTGCAGCTGGAGGAACTAGAAATCTGGGGAAGTAGGAAGTCATTGTCAGCAACATTAAATGTGTCAGTTACATCACAGGGCTATCACAACATCATTCCAGCTTAAAGACCACATCCTGTAAATAATCAAGTCCTGACAAATCAACACGCCACACCAAGGGGCTACAATGACATAATCTGCCAAGTCACTGAGTCTGACAGCCTGATCCATTTTAATCGATTCTTACAACAAGCATAGATTACTTGGGATCCTTTCCACCCTGGAATCTCCACAGGGTTACAGTTACAGCATTATTCAGGTGAGCTAAAACCTTGATGTTCTGTTTATATGAGGTACTAGATAAAGAAATACCACTTACAAATGTAAGGTACTAAATAACAAGTTGTCTGCGACAAGAGACTCATCTGTATGTTCGTACTGATCTCAGACTGCAAGATCTATATAAACAACAAAATCTTGTCTACCTCTCCCCAGAACTGTTTCCCTGGCATCCAGGCCTCGATGTCGTACTTCCTGTAGGCGGGGGCTCCTAGCTCGTGGGTCGGCATGTCCAGGACTCTACAGAGTGAACAAATCATTACACATCACAATCATGGTTCTAAGAGAAAACACGAACATATTTTAATATTAACCGGCATTTTATCAGTACTATCGGGGCTTAAACCTCCCAATCATTCATCAACCAATGCCCCATCATCCATCAACCCACTCCCCATCATCCATCAACCAACACCCCATCATCCAACAACCAACTCCCCATCAACCAACTCCCACCATTCAACAAACAACTCCTATCAGACTCACATCAATCAACTCCCCATCATCCATCAACCAACTCCCACCATCCATCAACCAACTCCCCATCAACCAACTCCCACCATCCATCAACCAACTCCCCACCATCCATCAACCAACACCCTATCATCCATCAACCAACTCCCAGCCATCCATCAACCAACACCCCATCACCCATCAACCAACTCCCCATCATCCATCAACCAACTCCCACCATCCATCAACCAACTCCCCATCATCCATCAACCAACTCCCCACCATCCATCAACCAACACCCCATCATCCATCAACCAACTCCCCATCATCCATCAACCAACTCCCATCATCCATCAACCAACACCCCATCATCCATCAACCAACTCCCCATCAACCAACTCCCACCATCCAACAAACAACTCCCATTAGACTCACATCAATCAACTCCCCATCATCCATCAACCAACTCCCACCATCCATCAACCAACTCCCCACCATCCATCAACCAACACCCCACCATCCATCAACCAACTCCCATCATCCATCAACCAACTCCCATCATCCATCAACCAACACCCCACCATCCATCAACCAACTCCCACCATCCAACAACCAACACCCCATCATCCAACAACCAACACCCCACCATCCATCAACCAACTCCCATCATCCATCAACCAACTCCCCATCATCCATCAATCAACTCCCCATCATCCATCAACCAACACCCCACCATCCATCAACCAACTCCCACCATCCAACAACCAACACCCCATCATCCATCAACCAACACCCCACCATCCATCAACCAACTCCCATCATCCATCAACCAACTCCCCATCCCACATTCCCATCTTTATGTCAGAGATCCCATGTCCTGCTACCTGAAGTGCAGCCCGAGATCAGCAAAGAGGTTCTTCTGTAGATCCAGGAGTTCCTCCAGCAGACGGTCACTCTCCCCGCCGCCCTCACTGCAGCTCACTCCAAACAACTCCACCTGACCAGGAACACAGTGAAGTGCAGGCTGTTTGTTCTAATAGTATCAAGGCGTTTCAAAATGTGTCATTATGATCTCAATTTCTTCATACTTACATTTCTTGAGTGAAGAATTCATAAACTTAGAGTAAAGTCCTCTAATGAGAGAGAGTAATTGAATCTTGTTTTATGCCGCATTCAGCAATAATATATAACAGTCTCCGATAACAATCGACTCAGGGCCGGGCATAACAGTGGTTTATATCATCAGCAATCATCTACATCACCAGGGCACGGTGGCGCAATCAGCCAGGTTGCTAACTGTAACCCCTGAGAGACGTGAGCAACTGAGTTGCTGAGTAGCACTAAGTAACACTGAGCAATGCTCAGAAGAACTAGCAGTACCTTCGTAAACTGATGCACTCTGTAGATGCCCTTCTCCTCCTGTAACTCGGATGTCTCAGCCCGGTAACATCGGCTGATTGATGACAATCTACACACAAACAACCAAATAACTATACTGAACAAAAACAGTCAAGGATCATGAATACTTTGAGGATATTTTTATGAACTTGTGTACTCAGTCTTCACAACAACAACAACAAATATTTATGATTCCTAACTTTTTTTGTTCAGTATAAATGTATCTTTCAACCTTTCAGTATGTAAGTTGCAGTAACAAGATTTACTCATCAACATAAAAAACACAGTAATCTTGTAGTCACTTTTCCAATCTGGTAAGCGACGCTCTGATTGGTTGGATGAAAGGTCGTTCTGACATCACCCATAATGGGATGTCCTCAGATCTTTGTTTAGCGGTAGCAAGAACTAAGATCTGATTTTAATGAGACTGATTAAAAGAAATTATTCATAAAAACCATATTGTGAACACAAGCTTGACCTTCAAAGTCATACAATCACATGCAAGAACACAACTTAGTTGGTGTTACAAATATGATGTCTCCAATTCATGCTACTATTTACAAATGATTTCAAGAATGAATGACCTTTTTAAGCGAATTTGATATTTAACACAATCATGACACAATATCTGGAGTTAGTTACTTAGAGTTCATCTTAACTGATTGTTCATGAATTACCTCAAAGTTTTGTGAAACATGAACCATGTTTCATAAATTGACCTTCAGTGACCTTGACCATGAACAGTGGTGACACCAAAACAGACCACTCTTTAGCAACCATTTTGTCAAATTCCATTAAGAAAGTTATCATGTACATAAGCTTTTTGGTGCCAGTTCATACTGAGTGACCGTGACCTTCAATGCCATCCAATAATAGGTCATAAACTTCCCCAGGGAGTACATTGCATACATCTCAAGTATGATATCTCTAACATCTATCATAAGTATATGGTAGAGAAAAAAATATAGTGACAGCTGAGCTCCTGTTCAAGCCAACACACTAAACCGCCCCCACTGCAGTGGCTGCTTAAAGATTCCTTACTTACTTTACTGGAAGCTGATCTAGCTGCAGCTCTTCATTCATGAAATATCCTGAAAATATCAGACATTTAGGGTGAGTGAGTGTGTATGGTTTTTCGCCGCTTTTAGCAATATTTAACCACTAGGCTACCCGACCGTCCCTCAGACATTTAGACATCTGATAGGCACACAGTTGCTGATTTCTATATGGTGGGACATAAACTAAATTGAAGAAAGGGTCATGGAAAAAAGACAAGAATTTGAGAAGGCTCTGCAGAACAAAAGGACAAATATCTAGATTAATTCAACAGATAAATAAGATTTCTGCCTTCCTAATCCACAACCAAACTAGATCCTAGGCCCCGTTCCACAAAGCTCGAAGATGATCGTGACTCTCATCCGTCAACTTTGGCTTACAAAAGTGCTTAGACCGCATTGTGGTGCAGGGCACAGACACATCTTCCAGGGAATTCAAAGAAGGACAGGTGGTTCCCATCATCCACTGCTTATCTAAAGAGCCACCCAATGAGGATCAGGTGGTCACATTGTGTGACTCTCTGAACGTGTGTATCTCAACAGTAATTTATTGTTGCTCATGTTATCATCCAATGGTGTGGCTTGTCCAGAGATGATTATTTTTGGCCATCAATATATACTCCACCTAAGAAGAAACTCATATGTGGTTTTCAAGAGATTCATTCTGTGACTTCTACAAGGCTTTGGAAGATTAAACTGTGAAATAGAGTTCATCAAATGTTAACAGAGAAATCTTTGAATGTATGAGTTACGTCACTGTCTCAAGTTCTAAAGCCTAGTATTGTGTGTTTCCACCACTAGGTTTGACTGACTGCATGACACCTCCTGCCCATGGAACCAACAAGTCTGCTTTGTGGAATGGCAGCCCTTACTTCTGAAGAGCTTGAGTTAATTCCTGCAGATTCTGTGGCCCTGGGTGTCATTGTACAAAACAACCTTAGCGTTACGACTGTCGTAAGGCTATGTTGAGGTATGGGAGTTATGATCACCTTAGTGCTAAGATCGCTTTGTACAACGGCACCATGGTTGACGTTGTCATAAACATAAACAACTCATCACACAGATGCTCAATTGGGTGACCTTGATGGCCACAAAATTACGTTCCTGTCCTGTCCTGTCAGTACTGTCTTGTGCTGTGTGGGGACAAGCATTGTCATACTGCAAGTTGCAGTGTATGTTGCAGTGAGCAATGGTGAAGTTTCGATGGTGAAGGACCCAGATGAAGCTATCCAGGGCTGCTAATACCGAGTCCTGATCTTTGGCGATCTCTAGTGGTGCCATGTTGACAATATTGGGACCCAATATTGTGCCCAAAGGAAACTGTACTCTGGGAAATGTTGAAATGACTCCCACTGATGCTTGTGATTCACATGCTTCAAGTCTACAAATAGCGGTATTTCTCACATTATTGTTGTATAATGATTTTGAAAAGTCACTTCGTAACGTGAATGTTTTGTGATAACTACCGGTATGTGTTACAAACTTGCCCCATCCCAAATCCCAAATGAAGACATCTGCTTTTCAGCTTCCCAAGAAAATGCATTATGCAAATCTCAAAGATTATCGACATAACTCTATCAAAGACAATAAATCCCTTTTGTGACACTTTATCAGTTAAAAGGAACTTTACTTTCATGGAGCAGTGAAATATTTTACCACCTAAGCACTTCTTTCTTTTGTAGAGTGGAGTTCGACTGTTGCTGTCTGCAGTGAAACATTCACGCACTATTTGACACACATTTCAGTCAGTATTCCAAACAGCAAACTCAGAAGGGACTTCCCCAGCAAGGCACTTAATGGATAAAGTTATCCGGCTTGGTGATGTGGTTGACTGCCTGTCCTTATACCCCGATGACGAGGGACGTTGTTTTTAATACATATAACTGGTTTATCATAGGGCTACTATAGTGCAGGGTTTAACAAACCTTTCAAAAAGCAAGAACTGGGGATGAATTAAACGTGACTGTGTCTGCCTAACTGAACGGCGTCACAACTGACCTGCCAGAGGCATCTCAGACGTTCCTGCAAGACAGACGTCGCCATGTTTGCTTGGGTCCAACTTGTATACCTGAGTTCTCTCCCCTGATGTCTTGAAGCCACAGCTCTCCTTGAGAGGGGAACTTAGATATTGAGAAACTTCCAAACACTAAGCTTCAGTAATATAGATTTACAATGTAATTGATCTGCTAGATAAAACAGTATGTATTGACAAGCAGCACAGAGGCTCAGTGAATTCTGGGATCATGATGGTGATGACAAAATGACATTATGATACTCTTGTGATTGTTAACTAATCTTTCCAGGAGTACTGCCAGCATTACAAAATGGTGTAACTCACAATGACTGCTATTAAATGTAGAGAGTGAATGAGTTGGGTTTTAACGCTGATTTGAACAGTATTCCAGTTATATCACGACGTGTCAGCTTAACGTAGATGGAAAGCCTGAAGTGATGCAGGTCTCAGACGTTAACCCTTTTTGGTGAAACCCAAGAGCATGGGTATGGTGCTGACAAAACTAGAAACATAATCGCAGCCAGATCTAACTCTCGCTGCTGATCTTTTCACTCTGCTCTGCACTCATTTAAACCTGGCGACTTCAATTTCAGACTACGCTTCAAAAATATGTTGACACAGTTCTCAATTAAAATTTTGAAAACTTAACATACAAACTGTCATTCGGAATACTCCGTTTTAATGTTTTCGAGGTTGCACGATTAGAAAACACATTCCAACTATGACTTTCATAATCTGGTAAGCGACCCTCTGATTGGTCGGATGAAAGGTCGTTCTGACGTGACCCGTAATGAGATGTGCTCAGATCTTTGTTTAGCGATAGCAAGAACTAAGATCTGAATGAGATTGAATCTCAGCGAACCAGGATTCGAACCCACAATCATAGGTTGCTGGCTCGCCAAAGGGAGGTAACTCTGCACGTTTAATTGTGGCATCTTAGACAACTGGGCAACACATGGCCCATCTGCTAATAGAACTCACAATGACAGCTGAGTGAATCATATCAGGCACCGTCACCAACTGGAACCCCTGTGGGACAACAACATAATTATATCTTTTGTGGCACTTAGAAGTGATAAACATAAAAGAGAGAATTTATGGATCTCAACTTCTTGATTACGAGGAACACAACGTTTTGGAGTATGATGGAGTAAGCATGTACTACGTAGCCTTGTGTTCCTCATAACAAAGAAGTTGACATCCACAAATACTCTCCCTTAACTGAGAATGTTACCAACTTGAAAGAACATTAGAAGGCTAAGTAGTCGAAGGTGAATTAACAAGTGTAATTGCTACGGGTCATGAGACCCATGAAGATCCGGGGTAGAATAGGCCTTCAGAGACCCATGCTTGTAAGAGGCAAGTAATGGGATTGGGTGGTGAGGCTCGCTGACTTGGTTGATGCATGTCATCATATCCCAATTGCCTGGATGGATGCTCATGATGTCAATCACTGGATTGTCTGGTCCAGACTCGATTTTTTTACAGACCGCCGTCATATAGCTTGAAAATATTTCTGGGTATGGCGTTAAACAACAAACAAACAAACGAGCCATGACATTTAATAACTTTGGGTTGCTTAGAGCGACACAAAAAGAGGCCTTAGACTTCAGGTACCATCTAATACCTACGTTCACACAGTCACACAAGACACAAAGCTGCCATGGTGTACCTTCTGCTTGACCCTGTCCACTGTGTACTGAATCAGAGCTTGTTCCAGCCTCGCCAGCTCATCCTTCAAGTAGTATGTCCTCTCACCAGTTGTCATGGAGACATTGCTGAAAACAAGCCTCTGATTATTAACATAGACGTCAAGAGAATATGGGTATCGTTGTAGTATACACTATCAGAGGTTACCTCTTCATATCAAAGCCCTTCGAAGATCCGAGTGAAGACCTATTATTTTCGTAAGAGGCAACTAACGGGATAGGGTGGTCAGGATCTCACAATTGGTTGATGCCTGTCATCGTATCCCAATTGCGTACATCCATGCCCATGAAGTCAATCACTGGATTGTCCGGTCCAGACTCACAGATTGCTGTGATATAGCTGGAATATTGCTGAGTACGGTGTTAAACAACAAACAAACCAACAAAATTCATACACTACCATAATAATAGTTTTAGATAAAATAAATTTATATACAACAACATACATTGACAAGATGTCAACCCCCAAAATTGAAGCAATTAGAAATATCTTGGTTAGATCTGAACACTTTTGCTGTAGGGTCTAAAATTATTATTTTTAAAAACATAATTAGTAATCATCACTAGTATAAATAATTCTATGTAGACGTCTTTGTTCAGTAAATATGCCAAACAGTACTAATTTATTAGTGATAGTCAAAATTACTGGCAGTCTTTTTTTGGTAAATCGTAAAATATTTAACACTCCCATGTTAAAAGAACTTAGTTCAAGATTTCATAATGATCCATCAAATTCATAATGTTTGGCATCCTTGATGAGATTCCCTGAGTAAAAAATGAGACGAAGTGTTGATCACTAATGATGTAAAACCTACTCGGTTCTTAGTAAGCCCAGCTTGTCTCCGAGTTCCACCACTGTCTTTGGCTTGAAATCAAACTCTGAAAGAAAAACATTCTTACATTTAGTGCTACAATTAATCAATAGAAATGAAAAGTAAAATATTAGGTACTGGTACTTAAGGACCTTATGACAGACCATAAACTATCAAGTTTATCTCAGTTGTATCATATAATTCTTGCTTACTTGATTACGAATGCAATTTACTGATGATAGATGTAACTGGTAAAAGCAGCTCAACTCACCTCGTTTTGTGCCAACAAGGGAGACTACTCTGGCTTGATCCTCATCACCAATTGGCTACACACATAAATGGTAATTTATCACAAACAATAACCTGACAAGTACTCTCAAAGAGTCTTTCTCTCCCCTCTCCCTCTCTCTCTCTATTATATAGATGACATATTATTCAAATGAACAATTAAACAATTAACATGTACTAACAATATGAAACGGCCTTTCGTTTTACAAAAACATCTTATTGTGTTAAGAGTGTCACAGTGCTATAAAACAGGTGAACACTACATGTTATATTTGTTTGTTGTTTAATGCAGCACTCAGCAATATTCCATCTATATGAGGGCAGCCTGTAAATAATCAAATCTGGACAAGACAATCCAGTGATCGAAATTTCAAGCAACGATTCATGGTCAGAGGACACGCCATCAACTAAGCCTGACAACCCGATCCATTTGGTTGCCTCCTTTGACCAGCATAGGCTGCTGAGGACCTACTGAAATCTCCATGGGGCTACATGTAATGATGTACCAGTATAAACACACAGACACAGAGAGGACAGACCACTCACAGAAGTGGGATGGCTTGTATTGGGGATGTCCTGAGCTGCAGCAATCAGCTGTTTCCATACTTCCTTCTTGTAGTCAGCCTAAAACATGCAACACATACAACATATTATACTCTGCAAAAAAAGAAACGCAAAGGTAGTAAAATCGTAAATATCTGACAGAGTGTTGCCAACATCCATACAAATATCAATTGGGATTGATTTGTGTGGAAAGAATGAGAAATTCAGAATTTTGGTGAAACAATGGAAATCTCAAAAAACACAACCACGGGAGAGCGTGGCAACAAAATACACCAACATCACTTGTTGGTCTTTAAAAACGTTGTGTTTTTATTCGCATGCTATCACAATCTTACAGCAAGCAAACAGCGAAAACATGCCTTGACTGACAAAAGCCCAACGCAACAATGCCATCGGCCGACTGCAAACAAAGAATCATATTTGGCTGTAGACAGGTTGATCACTATTACAAGACTGTGGAACCATTATGAGACACACAGGACAACACGTGAGCTTCCCACATCCAGTCGACCACGTATCACCACTAGAGAACAGGACAGATTCTTTTGGCTACCTCACTTACGTGAAAGAACCACCATGGCCACCTCTACAATAACGGCAGTACCAGGATTGAGTAGGATATCAGCCCAGACAGTGAGGAACTTTTACCACGCAGAAGGTATTTGCACTAGACAACCAGTTTGAGGTGTCATTTTGACAGACCGCATTGTTGTCTGACATCAATGGTCACAGAGTATGGCAACAACTGCGATGAGACAAGTTTGGTTTGGTGACGAGTCATGTTTTATGCTTTCCAAGCGGATGGTAGATATTGTGTTTACAGGTGTCACAGGGAACATTATGCACAAGGCTGCATACAGGAAGTGGACAGATTTGGTGGTGGTAGTGTGATGATGTGGGCGGCCATCTCCTACAGATTCCTGGGCCACACATCCTTCCCATTATACAACAAGCGAACGTCCTCACACGGGTAGAATGACAACAGCCTTTTTCAGGAATCACGACATCCATGTCTTGCCATGGCCCCCCGGGTCTCCATATTTAAACCCAATCGAACATTTATGGGATGCACTGGATCAACGACTGCAAGTATGTCAGCAAAAACCACAGAACCTCTGACAGGTGGCACAAGCACTGCAGGCAGAGTGGGTGAGCATTCTCACAATATGAGATGTCATTGCTTCCATGGGATGACGATGCCAGTCAGTTGGTGGCTATACAAGATATTGAGAAGAGATGACCTTCACCTTGAAAATCTATTGTTCCATGTGTGCAATATGGAACCTGGGTCAATGACAATTATGTGTGCCAATTTTGAACAATCTATTACCATCTGTTGATTATCTATATGATATATAAAATGTACAGATAAGAATCACTATGTGAGGCTTGTTGCATGTTATTTTTAAACATTTTAAATTTGAAGAAATGTTGAAGGCATCTGTGTATATTACTGTTGAGGGATGTCATCCCATAAAACATGATAGTCAGGTTATATTTACATGTTTCATTTAGTCAAGGAATGAAAGATGCACGTATACATAGCGGTTTCCTTCATCTGTGGACCACGTACAAGGAGACAATGAGGTGAGGTAGGTGGGGATGACATCTAACAGGGTCTAACAGAGTTATGACAAGATAACTTTTGACTCTAATTCTTAGTTTTGAACATTGCATGGTATCGGACAAATATAGCTAAGGAGTCTATGGATAAAGTTTAAGCTCTGTCAAAAATTTCATTTAAGTGTATGATGAATATGACATAAGGTAGGCCTTTCAAAGTTATTTAACAAACAAACAAAAACAATTATTTGTTTCTGTTTATGTTATCAAGACACAATTCCATGACTACACTGCACACACCTCAGTGGCCTTGTTATACTCCTGCCATAGGGAAACCTGGGAGAAATAAGAAAAATACATGAATTAGGCTTCAAAACCCATCTGAATCCGAAGATATCCATATTAATTATTGACTTCATTCACAAAGTGCTGAAAAATGTCTCAGCCAGTTAAGTCAATGTAAATATGTAATGATGTGTATTTACTAATAGATATTTGTCATGGCAGTCCTTACATGAAAAGAAGAGCTTTATAAAATACTATTTCAGTATGTGTTGTGTTGTGGCACATAATTTTGTAAAAGGTTAAATGAACAGTACCTAAATAACAAGCATGATTGTTGACTGTTGACTTGGATCATTTGTATTTCGAAACACGTATCCACTCAATCTCATTAAAATCCTATCTTTAACACTCATATGAAACCTCTGCAGGAAGATCTGATGAAAGATCCATAGTAGGTCACATCAGATGGACCTGAGTGAACTTTGACTGCCCGGACTGACAGAAGGATGCGCAGGTTCTTGAGCCAATCATACGTCAACTTTCTCAAACTATTTGGCTTAATTTCATTACCACCTCGATATGAAAATTTTGAATTTTGAAAAAACCCGAAAAACACAGAGAACACACATATTCCTTTGCTGGAACTCACATTTGGATGAAGATGACATGGTTCTCAGAAACAACAGGGTAAATAAAGTATCCACAACATAATAATGGCACGGCATTAATCATTTACATTTGGAGGTCGTTTTAAGTTCGTTTTTGAGTCAATCAAATATGATGGATTGAATGCCTCACTAACTCGCACGGAGAATATAAATGCCTAAACATTGATTGGCTGATTTGGAAATTCACCTGATGTGACCTCCTATTGATGTGTCATCAGTATTTCTCACAGAGAGGTATCTTAAGAGTGAAAGATCTCATTTGAACTCATTTGGATATTCCAGCTATATCCTAGTGGCCTGGGGTCAGAGGCTGTTCACCTGATCCAAATTAGTTGCCTTTTATTAATAGCACTGGATGCTTTGGACACTATTCTGATTTCCACTTGGAGCTTCCATGATTGACTAAAGTAATGCCAAGATTACCACATACCACTTTATGAATATCACCAACTCCTTTTCTGTTGACAATATTTTGATGAATCTGCTCAGTATTTTGTGGATTGCACAGATATTGAAGATCGAGTTGTGGAGGTTCTAGATGAAATGATTCCTGCCAGGCTTGGGGAACTTGTTCTTTACTGTTAGAGTGAAGTTTTCGCTGGGGACATCGGCGGCAGGGTATGTGTGGGGAAGTAAGTAGGCGTTTAAACCGAGACTGATTAACAACCCTTGCAAGACACTGCTTGATAACAGGTGAAATAATTTCAGACACAAGCATCATGAAAGTTTGAGATTTTGGCAACCAACATCTGTAAATGAAAATAGTATGATATTAACTGAAACCTGAAATTTTGTTGTCTCACATTTATGAATTCATGTAATACATAAATGTGAAGAATTCAATATTCAGTGACGTTAACATTGAAATTGTCTTCATTGTCTGTGAGATATATCACAACTGTTCACAACATGCTATTGATCAAGCGAATGTAGTTTAATGCCACAGTCAGCAATATTGCAGCACCAGTCTGTATATCACAGGGGCTTGTAAAGAATCAAGTGAGTGACTTGGGTTTGACGTTGCTTTGAACAGTATTTCAGCATGATCAGTTATCAATACCATCAGTATCCATGGTATGATTGGTTTTGTTTGTTTGTTGTTTAACGCCACACTCAGCAATATTCCATCTATATGACAGCAGTCTGTAAATAATCGAAGTGGGAACAGGCAATCCAGGGGTTGATATCATGAGCATTGATCTTCACAATTTGGATATGATGACATGCATCAACCAAGCCTGACCACCCAATCTCGTTAGTTGCCTCTTACAACAAGCATAGTCCATTTATGGCAAACATGGGTTGCTGAAGACCTATTCTACCTTCACAGGTATTTTGGGATTAGGTCCAATGACACACAATGAGACTTCTAACACATATTAATAAATTGTACGAGCCAATTTCCATCTATTACGACAAGCTTAAGTTATGATCAATAGTAAACATGAATGAGTCAAAGTTACTGACTTGGAACACAAAATACATTTTCATGCGAAATAAATGTTACATGACACGACAAAAATGCTTTCAAATTATTCTCTTTGGGGGGTCTGTTTTCGGTGAATCATTGGCCACATCCGGAGCCAATAGCTGTGCCAAGTTAACTGCAGGCTTTTACCAAGTGCTATATATATACTTCTTGTCGACTCTCGCAATCACCGACATATTTTGAGATTGAAAATATCGTGGCGTATTCTCTCAAGAAAAAAAAAATTACATGTGAAAGTTCCAATGCGTGGAAACTTCAAAACGTCACGTCAATTTGTCTGCGGTATCTTTTGATCATTTGGGCTGTCTGCAGTCAAAGTATTTCACATTTGTTTTCATGGGCGCAGCCATATTGGATATAGAGAAGGGGGACAACTTTACAGTTTCCGGTGTTCCCCTTGATGGCAAATGTCGAAGCAGGTGCCCGAATCTAAAAGGATATTCCGATGATATTTGCTCAAATACAATGGCTGAAGTGACTAAATCGTCAGACAAAAGTAGAAACCGTTCAGATGGACAAGAAATTACATTTTCACCTGTAAAGTCACCAGGTATTCGACGATTAATGGGTCTTCACGATTAACCCTCAAAAACGAGGGTTTTAAGTTCATACTGTCAGTTTAGATACTAGACATTGTACATGTCGTCTGCTGAGGGACTGTTCATTTATTATGCTGGATGGAGGGGGGGGGGGGGGGGGGGGGGGTCAGAGGGGATCTGGGGAGGGTCACCCAAAAATATCACAGTCTCAAGGGAAGGGTCATAAAAATAATAGGCCTACAAATATTTGGAGAGGGTGATGAAAAAAATGGATATTCTATGATAAATTATAGATCTAGAGTGCTTTTGCATTTTGCCTTTTCAGATTTATGAAGTGAAGACTTTGTATCATGTCATGTGAATGTGATATTATAGAGATGTCATGTGAAGCATTTTCTATACACCAAAATCATTTTTAACTGAGCATACTTGTTTATATAGTTCCCCAGTACGATTGCCGTCACCAGGGCAATCTTACAGGCATGCTGCGGAAGGTCAAGGACACTGCTGCAGACGTTCACAATCAAATTTTCAAATGGAAGAAACTGAATACTGAAGGAAGAAACATCATCAGTGAAATAGCTAACACCAAAATAGAAAAAGTGTGAGGACTCTGGAATGATCATTTCCAAATTATTTGACATGTTTTGTTTTGAAAACCATGGGTGGAATTCTTCATGTTTATAAAAGCAATAACTACTGAAATGTGTTCCTATGAATGATACAGTGTATGTTTGTTTGAGGATGTGTTTTGTAAAAATAATCTTCTCTGTCTCATTGGATATATATAGTAGCTACCTTCATGAAAATTCAAGGGAATATAGGTCACATGCTAAAATGAGGAATGGGTGGTCAAGTTTACTGCAGATAATGGATAGTGCTGGAGTGGGTGACCGCTTCAGAAAACAAAGGTACATGTGCAACGTCCCACTGGGATTCCAGGAAAGACAGGTGGCTGTGCAGAGTTGTGTCCCTTGGGCATGCCAAAAACCTATGACCGTGGGTTCAAATCCCGGTTCTAACTGATTATGTTTCAAGGTGTGTCAGCACCATACCCATGCTCATGGGTTTCACCAAAGTGGTACACACCTGACACACCTGCATCACTTAGTTTTCCTCCCATATCAAGATGACAAGCCGTGATATAACTGTAAGACTGTCACAGTGGCGTTAAACCCAACTCACTCACTCATCCAGTCCAGGGCAGACAAGTTCCCCACGCTTGTATACTATAATAATGTGTCACCTGGCTGTTCTGTGTTTGCATACCTTAGCAGCATGAACCTTCCTCATGCTGTCAACCACACGTTTTGCCTGGACTTTATTTACAGACCGCTGTATAACTGAATATTGCCAAGACAATCACTGACATCTTATATGTCTTTTGTGTATACAACTATGTTGTGAAACAGTATATACGGGAGACAAGGTATGAAAGGTGTCGTGGACATACCCCTAATGTAAAAACAAGATTTTGGGGGTCGCTGCATTAGTAGCTTACTGGAAGGATCCCCATTTTCAACACTGAATACAGATTGAAGTAGGGCATTCATCATATCATTGAAATGGTTCAGTCTTGTATCTAACCATCATTACTATATCACCCTTGCAGGTTCAATGTAGCTGGAGAGGAGACTGATGGGAATCTGCTGCCTGCCAGCCTCGAGCCTCTGTGTGACAGACTCACCTCCGTATACCACAACATGGTGAGGCTTCAACCTTGGTTCAGATACACTGATCAGGGAGCTATCTAGACAAGTCTGCAGCAAATGTCAGTACATTTCACAAATTGGAATTAAAAATTTCCCAAGCTTTAATGCCTAGTTTTACATCATGGATTGAATGCTATGTTAACCTACCTACTTGGTTGATTGTATTCCATCGTGTCCTGACACTGAGGGATATTGTTCATATCATCCACTGGTTCGTCTGGTTCAGATTGATTATTTCCTGCCATGATACAGCTGGAGTCTTGCTCACTGCGACTTTCAACAAAATTGACTCACTTACCCTACCAAAAGCCTCAGTTTGCTGCTTGTGATGTGATATGCTGTTGTATTACAGCATGAAAATAGTTCTGTTTTCCCTCAGAAGATTATTTTTTTATTTCACAACAGATATAATAATTCTGAATGATCAAGCAGACTGTGTGTGACCTGAAGTCCTGTATGTAGTACGAGCTCACCGGTCCAATGTAAACTTTAGTTGTGCACTACTTCATATTGTTCAGGAGAAGATTGTGGGGAAGCTGCAACAGCTGAGGGCTGCCCTGTGCGGTGTGCAGGCTCTGTCTCGACACAAGGGTGGGGAAGAGGACATTTTGTTTCACACTTGGAACATTCAGGATTTTGGTAGGTGAACTGACTTCATGTATTCATTTTCTTACAGACCGATTTACAGGACTTGCTTTAGTGAATGGTAGCTTTTGGGAACAATACAACAACTACTGATGGTTTTGTGGACGCATTTTAAACATTCTTGACAGAACATCCACACTTTTACTGTTTTCGGTGCCGTTTTGTATATCACAGAACCTTTCACCTAGGTTGAGTCCCCATCTATCTTGTATTTGTTAAATATTTATGTTCCTCCAACATTGGCTGTGTATTAATGATATAATATGTGATTTATACTTCTATTATAAGTTAAAGAACACCTGATTCTTTCATATTACTATAGTTATTCCACAGATTAACTACAATAAGCTACAGTTATAACAAACTCAAAGGGACCACTAACTTTAGTTCATTATAACCGTTTTTTGTTATAAACATATATAGAGCATACACACAGCAAATGGCCAGGACAAAGAAAACCAGTTTGTTATATCCGCCAGTTTGTTATAAGCGTGTTCGTTATAGACTTAGTTCATTGTATAGTAATATGAAAGAATGGGATGTCCTTTAACTTAGTGTTAGTGTAAATTATACTTCCATGAGAAGAGAGAGAGAAAGTGAAAAAAGTATAAGAAAAGATTTGTCTGGAATGAGCTATGTAAATAGTATTTAGCACAGCACTGCTCTCACTGGATTATATGATAGGTAAAAAAAATCCCTTTGCTGAAGAATCCCATTAAAAAATTAATCTCTGTAAGATGAAGGGCAAGAAGCCCTGGGCACCATTCCACAAAGCCATCTGAGCGGTGTGATTGGTTAGTTAATGTATGTGAGGTATGTTCGTCTTAACCCTAATACTGCTTGGTAGAACAGGCTCCAGAACAGTTTTCACTGCTGTGATAAAACTGTGATGACAGAGGAAAAACTGTCTTTCAACTTTAGCCACATCGTCTAAAGTCCAAGTGCAGTAAATTTCTGTTCGGTCCTGTAAGCTCATCTGAAGATAGTCCATATGATAACACTGAACTCAGTGAAGATAATGCTCAGTGCCATGTTTGGGCTCATAGACTCAAAAGTTATTGGCATTGACTGTAAAAAATGTTGAAATCATTGATCTGCGCTGTCCTTTGTGTATTCAGAAAGGTTTATTTGGTTTCTTTACAGTAAATACAATGGACCAGCTGATTGAGATGTACCTTTCAGAGCTGAAACTTAAGAAGTCCATTGCTGAGAATGTTGCTCATGCAGAGAGCCGACAAATAATGATGTTCTACTCCGCTGCATGGATACACCAGCCTTATGTGGAAGACTCAGCCCAGATGCTGATGGAGAGTCTGATAACTGAGACTGGACATAAGTGACGCCTGGACACATCAGCACATCAGGTGGAAGACTCGGCCCAGATGCTGATGGAGAGTCTGATAACTGAGACTGGACATAAGTGACGTCTGGACACCTCAGCACATCAGGTGGAAGACTCAGCCCAGATGCTGATGGAGAGTCTGATAACTGAGACTGGACATAAGTGACGTCTGGACACATCCGCCCTAGGTGGAAGACTCGGCCCAGATGCTGATGGAGAGTCTGATAACTGAGACTGGACATAAGTGACGTCTGGACACATCAGCCCTAGGTGGAAGACTCGGTCCAGATTCTGATGGAGAGTCTGATAACTGAGACTGGACATAAGTGACGTCTGGACACCTCAGCACATCAGGTGGAAGACTCAGCCCAGATGTTGATGGAGAGTCTGATAACTGAGACTGAACATAAGTGACGTCTGGACACATCAGCCCTAGGTGGAAGACTCGGTCCAGATGTTGATGGAGAGTCTGATAACTGAGACTGGACATAAGTGACGTCTGGACACCTCAGCACATCAGGTGGAAGACTCAGCCCAGATGCTGATGGAGAGTCTGATAACTGAGACTGGACATAAGTGACGTCTGGACACATCAGCCCTAGGTGGAAGACTCGGTCCAGATGTTGATGGAGAGTCTGATAACTGAGACTGGACATAAGTGATGTCTGGACACATCAGCCCTAGGTGGAAGACTCGGTCCAGATTCTGATGGAGAGTCTGATAACTGAGACTGGACATAAGTGACGTCTGGACACCTCAGCACATCAGGTGGAAGACTCAGCCCAGATGTTGATGGAGAGTCTGATAACTGAGACTGGACATAAGTGACGTCTGGACACATCAGCCCTAGGTGGAAGACGCGGTCCAGATGTTGATGGAGAGTCTGATAACTGAGACTGGACATAAGTGACGTCTGGACACCTCAGCACATCAGGTGGAAGACTCGGCCCAGATGCTGATGGAGAGTCTGATAACTGAGACTGGACATAAGTGACGTCTGGACACATCAGCACATCAGGTGGAAGACTCAGCCCAGATGCTGATGGAGAGTCTGATAACTGAGACTGGACATAAGTGACGTCTGGACACATCAGCCCTAGGTGGAAGACTCGGTCCAGATGTTGATGGAGAGTCTGATAACTGAGACTGGACATAAGTGACGTCTGGACACCTCAGCACATCAGGTGGAAGACTCGGCCCAGATGCTGATGGAGAGTCTGATAACTGAGACTGGACATAAGTGACGTCTGGACACATCAGCACATCAGGTGGAAGACTCAGCCCAGATGCTGATGGAGAGTCTGATAACTGAGACTGGACATAAGTGACGTCTGGACACATCAGCCCTAGGTGGAAGACTCGGTCCAGATGTTGATGGAGAGTCTGATAACTGAGACTGGACATAAGTGACGTCTGGACACCTCAGCACATCAGGTGGAAGACTCGGCCCAGATGCTGATGGAGAGTCTGATAACTGAGACTGGACATAAGTGACGTCTGGACACATCAGCACATCAGGTGGAAGACTCAGCCCAGATGCTGATGGAGAGTCTGATAACTGAGACTGGACATAAGTGATGTCTGGACACATCAGCCCTAGGTGGAAGACTCGGCCCAGATTCTGATGGAGAGTCTGATAACTGAGACTGGACATAAGTGACGTCTGGACACCTCAGCACATCAGGTGGAAGACTCGGCCCAGATGCTGATGGAGAGTCTGATAACTGAGACTGGACATAAGTGACGTCTGGACACATCAACACATCAGGTGGAAGACTCAGCCCAGATGCTGATGGAGAGTCTGATAACTGAGACTGGACATAAGTGATGTCTGGACACATCAGCCCTAGGTGGAAGACTCAGCCCAGATGCTGATGGAGAGTCTGATAACTGAGACTGGACATAAGTGATGTCTGGACACATCTGCCCTAGGTGGAAGACTCGGCCCAGATTCTGATGGAGAGTCTGATAACTGAGACTGGACATAAGTGACGTCTGGACACATCAGCACATCAGGTGGAAGACTCGGGCCAGATGCTGATGGAGAGTCTGATAACTGAGACTGGACATAAGTGATGTCTGGACACATCAGCTCTAGGTGGAAGACTCGGGCCAGATGCTGATGGAGAGTCTGATAACTGAGACTGGACATAAGTGATGTCTGGACACATCAGCTCTAGGAGGAAGACTCGGGCCAGATGCTGATGGAGAGTCTGATAACTGAGACTGGACATAAGTGATGTCTGGACACATTAACCCTCGGTGGAAGACTCGGCCCAGATGCTGATGGAGAGTCTGATAACTGAGACTGGACATAAGTGACGTCTGGACACATCAGCTCTAGGTGGAAGACTCGGCCCAGATGCTGATGGAGAGTTTGATAACTGAGACTGGACATTTCTCGAATGTGCTCTTCTTCTTCAGTGAACAGTTACACCTTGTTAGATCCAGTTGATCCAGAAACTTCCACCCAGACAATTAGTTTCTTGGCAGGAATATGGTCAAGTGCCAAATTTTCAATGTTGTATGTGTAAGTGCTCGATCAAATGTCATGTACGGGGATATAAAGACTTATTAAATCCAACTATTTGCAGAGTGTGTTTACAGGTGTGTTCCAACCAGTGGCATATCATATTATCTGTGCTATCAGCCACTGGTTTGTGTTGTCCTACTTGAGCTACAATGACTGCGGCATCATGAACGAGTATCGCTCACAAGCTGATTAAGAAATGTTATTCATACTCGATCAACTGTAAAGACCTTTTATTCTTTCATCTGTCTTGTAAATGTTCATCACATCCTGACAATGATCCTTATCTCACCTTACATTAAAATACTAGCTTCTGATTGGTTGAGGTGCAGGCAGTTATTTTCTATGTAGCCTGCTTATGCACCCCGGTGAGAAATCAATCGTAACACCTCAGGTACCTTGCTTATCTAGGCTAAGTATCATTAAGCTGTAAAGGGAAGTTACTTTGTTCATTTGCATCATCTGCTCGCTGTCAAAATGGCTGAATCAAAGCCTTTTACTCAGTGAAACTTCGGACATTTATTCCAGGTCTGTATTAAAGAATGTCAGTTAGATAAATTCATTGTGGTATATGGTGTGATGACCTTTGAGAGTCACGATATGGCTGAAAAACTGTAGATGTGACTTTGAATTTTAACTCACTCTCTCAACAACAGGGTACATCAGACCATATACCATTCAAGATCAGTTGACAACTTACAACGGCTCATCAAAAAGTTCTAAACCTAACAAACAAAACAAAAAATAATTCTGAAAGTTTTTTTATTTTATTTTTCAACATGCTTTTTTATACACTTCTCATATCAATAGTGTAGCTTTTCAATTCCAGTCGGGAAGAAGTTTTCTGAAGCCAGCCTGAAAAACCCATTCCCAGCAGCTTTGAGGTCATCGTTGTCATCATAGCGCTTTCCACGAAGGTGTTCTCTCAGTTTAGGGAACAGGTGGAAATCACTTGGTGCCAGGTCTGGCGAGTATGGAGGGTGAGGAAGCTCTTCAAACCCACGTTGTTGCACAGCAGCATTTGCAAGTCGAGAGGTGTGACAAGAGGCATTGTCATGAAACAGTAGAACTCCATCAGTCAGCATTCCTCGCTGTGTTCTTTGATAGAATCTCTCAGGCGATGAAGCAAATCAGTATAGTAGGCACCGGTAATAGTCTTTTGACTTTCTAAGTCATCAACAAGGATCATACCCTTTGCATTCCAGAATACATTGGCCATAACTTTCTTCACTGAACTGTAGACTTAAATTTCTTTGGTGCCAGAGAAGTGTAATGGTGCCATTCCATGGATTGGCGTTTTGACTGAGGGATCATAGTGATAGACCCATGTTTCATCACCTGTTCCTAATCTGTTTTTGAATTTGACGAAATCCTCCTCAATTAGCTCTAAATTTTCTCTGGCAATATCGAACAATAGTTTATCATTGTTAATAATTCTCAGAATACTACCTCTATTACATAAATCCTGTATTTTGGCTTCAATCAAACTAACTAAAATGTTCAGATTTTCAACAGATGTCCTCTTCACTGTCAATGACACAATTAGTTACTGCCAAGTAGTCTCGTAACTACCCACGCCATGACGTCATAATGGCAGCCATATCACTTTTTTCCCTCATCCTACAAGAGGTAGATGAATCAGGGAGGTGGGAGGGAGTGATTCGTATGTCATAGAGGTAGTATTCTTTGAATTATTAACAATGGTAAACTATTGTTCGATAATTCTAATGAAACTTCTACCTCTATTACATATCTGCCAGAATATACCAGAGGGCCCCCAGTGGGATCTGCCTCTAGTAACTCCCTGTGTAATTGACAGCAATCCTCTTCTGGAAACCATAATGTACTGATTCTAATCCTACTTGAGATAATTCCCTCCGAAATTCCCCTTGAGGGCTTGAAAATCAGAACTGTGTCAAGAATCAGTCAAATATGTGATATTTTCACTAGATTTACCATTATTTTTGCTGATCTTGACCGTAATAAACCTGGATTTTTACTTTTAATACCAGCGATTACGTCACTTCCGGTTCTGATGACACTTTCGGTTTGTCACTTCCCTTTTTGGTAATGACGTCTCTCGAGGTCTATTTCTACCCCAAAGACGTTATTTCCTAGTTAGAAGGACCCTGTTCTGCAATTTCTGGTGCTGACATCACTTCCGGTTATTCTCTCACTTCCGTTAATGAGACCACTTCCGGTCTAATGGTGATAGTTGACATTTAAGAGGCTTATAATCCATCCTACACCTAATAGGCAGAATAATCAAGGGTGTACTCACCCCCTGATGCTGCTGGTGTCGATTCCTCGTAATCCTTAAGAATCTAAGGTAAGGTACCGTTAGCAGATAGTACAGATTCCACTTCGGGAAGATAAGAGGAGTTCTAATATCTTCTTGTATAAAGCATCTCATTAGTCTGTTGAGAACGGGATGGTTTCCGATTGATAATCCGCCATGTTGAAGTACAGAATGAAGGGCTGATCTGTTACCTTCTATCTTCCCATGTCAGAATTTATTGTCTTGACATAGATGAAATCTGCTACCGCTAGCATTAGTGAAAATCCCAAGTTGTCTTCTCCACTGGCCAAACTTGTTCCATCTGTTTTCATATATAAGGGAGGATGAAGGTCTCCACGATCTTGCCACAGCTTCTGAGGCAAGCTCAGAGTATCTGGATGTCTGCATCTTCTGCATGATAACTTCCAGGCAGTTCAATGTAGGCTGGGCAGATTTCCTTGAAATATGTTGGACTTGGGTTGTCGTAGCAGATCTCGACGAAGTGGTAAATGTCTAGATTCCTCAATTAGTAGCTTTAGTATGGCGAACCATGCCCTGCTGGGCCATATTGGAGCTGTAGATGACTTTGTCTAGGAGAGACCTTGACGGGAATGCGTAGGCGAATAATTTGTCCAATCCATCGAAAGAGCGTCGATCTGGGGAGCTCTTGGATCAGGAACTGGAAGTTGGTTGTTCTGGCAGGTGGCGAATAGATCTATGTGTGGTATGTCCCATATCTTGGTTATCCAGTTGAAGATCTGTGGATGTAATGTCCATTCTGTTGCAACTATTCTGCCCAGTATGTTCATTGCCCCGGGTATATGTCTCTCTTCCGTCTGGCAATTGGAGGAGTCTGCCAAGGCAAACGATCGTGTAGACTCCATCATCAGGGAACTGGATCTGGTTCCTCCCTGCTTCTGAATATAGGCCACTACTGTAGTGTTGTCTGTGGCTATGAAAACAGATGATAGATGAAGATGTATCCTCCATTCAAGGATGAAGTATTATATGGCCTTCATTTCCCTGCAGTTGATATGAAGGTTCTTCTCCTCTGTGTTCCACGATCCTTGTACCATGAGATCGTCCATATGGGCTCCCCATCCCGAATCTGATGCGTCTGTGAACAGATGGTGTTCTGGCGTCAGAAAGTGAAGGGGGATGGCACTCATCACATGTCCTCTGTGATTCCACCAATGGTGGTCTTGTACTAATCTAGGAGGTAACTGAGTCTGGAACTCTAGGCCGATCGATCGTATAGAGTTGACCTATGTCTGTGGAGGACATAGCATCAGACTTCCTCTGAAGGTCATATCCTGTAGAGACGTTAGGTTGCCTAGCAGAGACATCCACCATCTCAGCGACTTGCTAGGTTGACTTGAAAGTGATTGAATCATCTTTATAGTCTTGTGGAATCGATCCCCTGGTGGACATAAGATATCCCCTGTCCCTCTGGAATCTTGCTCAGATGTATATGATGTCTTGAACCGGAGTGATCTCTGACTTGGCTGTATTGACTAGGAAGTCTAGGTAGGTAATAAGTTGGACCAAGAATATCATGTTCCTTGGTCTGCCGCTAGGAAATAGTCCAGATAGCCATGGATTCGAATTAGCTGGAGGTGAGCGAACTTGATGACAGGCGCTATAATCCTGGTGAATAGCCAAGGGGCTATTGCTATCCCGAATGGTAGGACTTGGAATTCGTAGCTGATCTCCTAGGTCAATCTCCTTTCTTCAACGTCAACCGTAATTTCCATATGGACTCCCATCTGGCATTTTGGTGGTGGTACTAGATATCTCTGGTTGAGGGTGTTTAGATCAATAATCATCCTCGTCTTGGTTGTATTTATTCGGGACTAAAAAGACTGGAGCATAAAAACCCTTGGTGTTGTTGGTTTCTTTTAGTTCCCGAATGGCTCGCTTCTTTAGTAGTTTCCTGACAGCGAACTCTGCAGCTGCTAACTTGGCTCCGGTCTTCAGCCCACGGCGTGTATTCAGGATTGGGTGTTTCCTGAAGTGTAGCTTGTATCCACGAGCCACGACGTCCAGAATCCAGTGGTTGGGCATAACTTGCTTCCAATTCGGCGTATGACGGAAGACGGAATTATGTTGAAAGAGGGTAGACGTAAATCGCAATCAATAGACGTCAGAACTTTTGTTCACCTCTGCCTTCGGATGTTCCACAGCGATTATATCCCTGTTTCTTGTAATCTGGTTGGCGAAAGGAATCCTGTAAAGACTGGATATGAATCCTTGCCGGAGGGAAAAACTCCTACTTAGGAGGCTGTTTGGACGCTGATGACCTATAATCCCATGGACGCTCTGTGAATGGGATGATTCATGTGCCTTAGCAGCTAGGCCTATAGTTGAAGTTTTGAAACATTCTGCTGTGTCTTGTTTAACTTCATCTATGATGTGTCTCAATTTTCCGTTGAATGTTGTGGTAGCTGATATAGGTTGTGTCATCATGAACCTCATGGTTTGGTTTGATACGGCTCTGGATCTGATCTGGGCTAAAAGTTGTTGCCATTGTATCCCAGTAGTTGTGTAGAAATCCAAGACTTGGGAGGAAAGTAAGTCTTCCTGCATCCTGACAATCGAGTCTAGGAGGCAATGGATGAGTCCGACTTGATCGGTGTTTCCAGCGCAATTCCTAGCCCTAATGTCATAGCCCTCTGCATCTACCCCGTGGGGTTCGTCATCCTACAGTGACCATGATTCCGGTATAATCTGTCTCTGTGTGACTTGTGGTCCATGGGTAATGGTAGCCATGCGGTGGCTGTCCTCT